GGTTTACATGAAATAACTCATGCCAATTCATAGGTTCTCTTGGAATGAAAAAGAAAACTTAAAGTGACTTTAATCTTCAAGCAAAGTGCTTCTGTTATAGTTTAAAAGGCAATCAATAATAGAGTTAATCTGTTAATCATGTATTCTTCATTTTGAAAGCAAATTTACAAATTAAGGTTCATTCAGTATCTTCTCAAATTCATTTTCTATACATCACACAGTTTGTGAATAACAAGCATTCTTACATGTAAGTCTCTTTGTCCACAAGAAAGTGTTCCAGAGGATGGAAACATGCTTTGGGATAACTGTTATTAAGAAACTTGTTGCAAAAGATTAATTCCGGTGACATATTCCAAAAGCCAGAGAAACTGAACTTTCTGCCTTTTAATTTAAAATTACTTGATGCAAGCAGAACACATCTGAAAATTGGGCTTTTCAATGTCTAGTTTGGCTAAATTAGAAATTAGACAAGACAAATTGGCTAATTTAAATTTAAATGCTTTTGAGGCCAACTTTGAGGAACACAATCAGAAATTTGAATTTTGTTAAATGGATTAACCTTCTTTTATTTTTAGGGTCTCATTTTAATACTCAACAACCTATGATAAGCAATCATCGTTGCAATAAATCACCATGATAGAATCTTAAATTCATTTGGAATATAAGAAAATCAGTTAAAAAAAAAAAAAAGATTTTCCTCTTCTGGACAATACAATGCGGTAAAAAATGGATGTGCAAGTCCTATAAATATAATCTCCTTCCAAACATAACCATGCCAACTGATGCGCATGGAAAATATATTTTGTATCTGCGTCAATCTATACACTAAGGGACATTTAATATTATTGATTTCTCTCCTTACTTCGTGACCGATATTGAAGAATGTAACATGACTTGGATCACGTTTTATTTCGAGGGAAGAATTTTTAATTTTTAAAATAATCGCGTGGTGTTTTTTGTGACTGACGAAAACAAAACAAAAAACATCGAAAGGTTGATGCATGTTAGGGTAGTTCATTTGAGTTGTCTAACTGGGTTAAGTCCATGGACTGGAGGTCATTGTTTTGTCCATCAACCCATTCCTTGGTTATCAGTTCTTTCAACATTTGCTAGAGGATGAGTATGTAACTTTCCTATGTAATAAGATACGTTTCATAAACACTGAATCGGTTGAAAGTTCTTTGAAGATCTCTCACCTGTCGAGGGGTTCCTGATAAACATAAAAATGTCATCATGGTAGAAAGACGTTTCTTAACATATCTGATGTACAAAGTGAAGATGAGACGAAGGTTTTTGAACAGGTCATCATCATACGTTGTCAAATTTAACACAACTGTCGAAATCAACCGATTCTTCAATGCGACATCGATTCTTTCTGTTTATTCACGGCAACTCATCCGCCATTTTGAATGTAGATGCTGAGAAACTGGGTCGAGAGCTGGTTGAGGCCAATCAGAAAGAAGACACCGCACGACGAATCTGGGTTTTGATTTTGGAATTTTGCGGTAAAACATGAAATCCAAAAACGTCTTTCAACGCTGAGAAATCCATCCTCAAAGTGGATGTCAATTAAGAAATGAAACTCCGGATCTCATGGATTTCTATGTTTCGCTTTTTTTTGCGGGAAATCCGAAAAGGAGGGGTCTCAGTGGGGTTAACCGTTGGCAGGAATGGGCTCCTGCCGTTGGCTGTAAAGCGGAAAAAAATTAGCTCTGGATTTTTCAATGGAAATCCATCTGGAGGACAGATTTTTCATCATAGAAATCCGTTTTTGCTTTTCATGTTTTAATGCAAAATCCGAAATCTGTATTTCAAAATTTAAATCTGGTTTTACCAATCGAAAGCACCCAGAACTTTAGAGCCGTTTTCCCAATATTCCACAAGTATTCGCGGTTATTTTGGACTCTTTTAAATAGAACTAAGATTATCTTTTATTGGTTCACCCATGTCTCCACTTTCCGGGACACTTTCTCACCAACAGTAACACTTGAAATAGTCAAGAGAAAATAATGGCCTTTATTTTCTCTTGAAACATTTGAATTATTTCCATGATCCACTTTAAACAAAACGGGTATAATTGATATAAAAAATCAATATAGAAAAGATTTAAAAGAACCGATCCAATTATTATAGACTTACCTATCTAATGATCATTACTGCGATAACGGCAGTCGAAAGACTGTCTATTCTTCTGAAAGGAACAGAAACCGAGTGATTTCTGTCGTTGCTTATAAAAGTTTATCTAAAAATTAAAACTCTATTACCATGTTTTAGGATTTCAAAGAAAAAAGGCAACCAAGAGGTAAGAAATTGACTAAGGACGCTGCCATTTTCAAGATTAACCCAGTAACCTGGCCGCAAACCATCACCTGACGAAAGCTATAACGAACGGGTGAAAAGATGTTGTTCTGACCGTAAAAAAGAAAAGATCATTATTTGCGTCAAAAATATATACTTTTTGTAGCATCTAATTGTTCAGCAGATCACCTGTAGGAGACAAAGCGTGGTCAATGTCACCATTTCATACTGGTGTACTTCGTACTAACTGAGATGAAAATTATAAAATTTTTAAAACATTTTTTTTTAACTGGAGGTGCGAGTAAAACTAGTTAGTAATATAATTTCAATTCAGCGGATACCTTCAGGCTGGTAAGACTGAAAAGAAAATTCCCTAGTAACAGGGCTCCTCATTCGCATATCCTCGAACACAGACACAAACAATTCAAAAAGACAATATGAAAGCAGTGATTCCATGGAGAGTACTGTCACGTAATCGTAGATTAATCATCAAACCGACAGTCGATATAGCTTGTGAAGAGTTCCTGTTGGAATTGGCTCTGAATGAAGCCAGGCACTCGATGTAATAAGTTTGTAGGAATTCATCTTTTTGCATTGTTTGCGGATACTAAATGTGTCCGCTAAGGAAAACGAGTTTGCAGCTTTAGAACTTTTTTCGGCGGGAAATTGGAGGCAACGAGGACTGCCGGGAAACATTCCTAGAAGCCGCTCCCCGACTGACCGCGAAATATGCAACGCCTACCTAAGATGCTCTTTCACAGCCTGAAGAAATATTACACAGCCTGAAGAAATATGACACAGCCTGAAGAAATATTACATTCAAAGCAAGTGATTATTTAAGAGTGAGATTTGAATTCTAATGGCTGAGAAAGATTCCCGAGTTGAAATTCTGTTTAGAAAGAGGTGAGAAACTGGATAAGGGTTGGCGCCAATCCGGGCCAAAGCTAATCAACTATCGAGCTAAGATTACACATAACACGGATTTTTCTCTCTGTAAAGCTTAGCAGCCGGGCCTTTCAATACGCAACTTATATGCTCTTACCAATACCAGGAACAATATCGACACAAAAGGAGCATCAATGCTTGCACTATAAGTAGCTGCAGGTTCACAAGGACATTCTGAAAGTGATAAAACGACTCTAAGACTGAAGTCGGATCCGAGGCTGCTAATTTTCAGAAGGGAATAGGAGGAGGAGACGAATTCTTACGGAATACAAAATAACAATGGAAGGGGGGGGGGAGGTGGGGTTAAAGAGTGGTCTTGCATTTAACAAATTTGATGATAATCACCGGAAATTTATTTTCTCATCACAATATAAATACATTAAGCCCGACTTCTCTGAATGGGCAAGATCAGAGCCGGATTGACCATGGAGCGCCAACTCAGTTACGAAGCCAGATATTGGAAGCGCGGTGCGTGGGGTTTAATTGATTGAATTTTTTTCAAGCTCCTTTTCCGAAATTTTCTTTTGAGAAAATATCGCTTCTTCATTTTATTATTATCCGCAGGTTAAAATTCTTTTTATGTAAGAGAGATAATGACTACTAGACACCATGGCTCCAAGTAATAAACTTCAGTGTATTATCGGTTAAGTTTTTTTTCAAAGCATAGCAAGACAGTACACTCGAGACACTCAAACAACTCATCTCATTCAGCGAATAACACAGTTTCTCAACCCAAAACGACCCGGGACAAGGTAAAAAAAATGAGACTGAAAATTCATGCTCCTTTGCACGCTCCGTCCGCAGCCTTCGAGGAGCAGGCTGGTTGTCCGTACAGGTTTTTGCAAACGAAAGGCAATTCTAAGTTCTAAGGGTGTGTTAAGTTGATTCCTCAGGACTGCACGGCGTATCCTCTACTGTCCATAATAATCAAGTAATCAGGCGAATTAGCGCGCTCGCATTCCGAGAACATGGTATTGTTTTTCACTCAATAGACCAGGTAAAGAGGTACGATAGTCTTTCGCTCTTGAACGAGCACGGTGACCTATATTTTTGGCATAATTTTGGTGTACAATTTATCTCCAATAAATTGGGGAAATTAAAAAAAATTATTCGAAGGGAAGAAAAGATAAAGCTAAAAGTGTGTACGAAGGCCGTTACTCGAGGATACAAATTATGACTTTGAAAGGACCGATTCGAGGAACGTTTTAAGTCAATCTTGTTTAATCTTTGCGCGATTTTCCCACAAATCATATATAAAATTGTTCAATACGCTCGAAACTTTTAACCCATCAAGTTTTTTTCAAGTATTACTTTAAAAACTCTTGCTACCAGCTGCATCAAAATGTACCGTGAACCAAAGAAATGACGCGTGTGATTCCAGCACAGGCATAAATGGGGTAAGTTTGGCCCATTATTTCTCCTAAACGAGCACGGTGACCTGTCTCTTTTATTGTATTTTTCGACACAGACATTGGTGTAGAACGTTTAGGAAATTTTTTGAAAAATTGTGCGATAACTTCTCTTTCTGAGGAATCACTCTAACCCTTCAAGGGAATATTAGCAGTACTGTATTTTTAATTGCTCTGTGCCCCCAAAACTATAGCCTACCTGGTCCTCAGGGTGGCTATATCAGGATCAATGCTAATGTCTCGTAAACGAGCGAGAAACCACGAATTTTTCCGTTGACTGAACCTTTACGTCACTTTCCAGTTGGCTCCACAAACTTCCGGTCGAAGTCTTGTTCATGCGCATTGACACGTGAATTTCACATTTCCGGTCCCGACGTCCACTCTGTTGCGGTTGAAAATTTAAGCCACGTAAGTTGATGCCTGATGGTCGAACAATCGCTGTCTTGTCTTTATTTATGTGAGGTAGTAAGACAAGCAGCAAAACTGAAAATCTGCGTACATATTCGACGGAAAAGGAATGCCTGTACCGAATACTCCAAACGTGGTTCTTAACTTTCTACTTCGCGGGGCTAAATTTTGTTGTCATGGGAGAACTTTTTCTACACTAGACAAAAGAACGATCAGGTCTTCTCACACGAACAGTGCAAATGGAATTGCGTTTCGATCTGAGTTAAAAAGAAAAGCAAAAAGGGTCGTGGTTAAGCTTGGATCAGCTGTTATCACTAGAGATGACGAATGTGGTGTCGCTCTCGGAAGACTTGCCTCTATCGTTGAACAAGTAAGGCGCCAAATTAAATTTATTATAACAGTTGTTTCCAACTGGGTTATGAGTGCCGACAAATAAATGTACCTGTTAAGCTTCTAGGATACTTCTCCTTGTAATGCATAATTGCGATCCAAGGCTGGTTGCCCTCTGTTTAAGACTGTAATATTTCATCCTCATTTTAACTCTCTATCGTTTCGTTCGATCCCGAAAAAATCACGCTTTGTGTTACTATAATTAACTCGCACACGTGTGTTTACTGGACCCAACCCCCGAGAACAAAATTTCCATATTAAGTCATATAGGGGTCAAAATCTTTATAGGAAGGATAAAGCTAACCAAGAATGTAACAAGAAATATTAGGTTCAATTTTTTGAGCCATGATTTATAATCCTCCCACTTTCACTCTTGTTTTAAAAGTCTATGGAAGTTATTTCAAGTATTAAGTTATTGAGAGTATTTACCTCGAAGACGTCGTGTGGGGTCTAGATGTCTGAATAGTGGCTGAGTTTTTTCTTAGTTTTAGTGCACCAATTCAATGTCTATCAAAAGCCAGAAAAGAAAAACCCAATTAGTCGGCAATCTTAACCAAACATTTAAGTATTTATTTCTTAGCCAAAAGATTCTGGCAAAAATTTTGCTCTATTGCAAGGTTAATTCATTGGACTTTTTTTAGCTTCCTTTGTTTTTAATTCATCCAATGCTTTAAGTTACTTTATTTTTTCATTCTACTTCTATGCTGGCTGCATGTAAACATCTTAATTAAAAAAATTGTCTAGAAATTATCTTAGCACAGGTTGAAAATACAATGTATACTTTATGCAGACTATATGTTGTATTTTATATGAGGCAATTTTTTATTCTTATCTAAAGCGAGGGGCAATTCCTGGTAGGCAAGATTTGTCTCACCTTCTTATATCTTTCAGCTAGTATGTGCACTATGATTGGTCAATTTAGTGGGCCATATTTCACTGTGCAGCCTGCTACATTCAAATTTTTTGTTTGAATTTAAAGGTTGTAATCTCAGGATCTCAGAGAATTCAGGAGTTTAAGGGTCAAAGGACATTAGGGACAGTGATTTTAATATATGAACAGTGACCAAAAGTATAATGCCTCAGTTTAACATTTCTGGTGTACTCTGTTATCAAACAATCAGTCATATCATATTTTATACTAAACAGCATTAACAAATTAAATATATGCTATATGGTGTAAGTGTAAGGGAATAAAAGTCTCAATATTCAGCTTCTGTCTTTGTGAAACATTTCTGCCTGTGTCCCCTATTTTCAAAACAGATCTAAGGTTTGTCATTCAGTTTCATTTTGAATGCCAACATCAATTTCAGGCTTTAATTCACTTGTAATACATTTGGAAATTATGGAGAGTGCACCAGTCTAAGAGAAGAGGCAAATGCTTGCCTGATAGGGAAGTGTTAGCACAGTTATTAAATCCTAGAAGGTGAAGCACCCAATAAGGCCAGCTGTTTTTCCAGTGCAGTGAAAGTCCTTTTCACGTATCAGGCTTATCACTGATAATTTCATACCTGTTTTGAAAAAAAAACTTCTTAAATGACTTACAATAGACACCAAAGATAAGTCACACTTGCAGATGAGCCACACCCTGAGTGCAGTCACTCAGATATTTGAAAAGCTTGTCAACAAAAATCAATTGAAATTGAGGGAGTTTTTTATGTTTGTTCTTTCATCACACTTGCTCCCTTGTAAACCTATGAACATTGAAAACAGTAAAATACTTTCAATCCTCACCAATAATTTTGGCTGTAAGAGCATGGATTATATCTACCAACCTAGACTCATTTATAAATTTTACATAAAACAACAGGAAACCTTAAGGTTTTTTTTGTTGGCTCATTCATAGCATTGAAACCAGCTATTCGATTTAGACCTCTAAATTGTTAATAAAAAGTATTGATTTATATCTAAAAATTGGAGCACATTTTCCATAATTTCTCACCCTTGATTTACTAGGAAAACTTTCACTAACTTCTCCACCAGTGTTTTGGGTAATCAATACCATCTTGCTTCTTGAGTACTGATTGTCTTAGGCTTTGGAAACATCTTGGGATTGATAAATCTGTGAGGTCTGAATGTCTCATTGGTGTTATTTTTATTTGAATTTTTTTCAATGAATTTATGTACATTGTTATTCCTACCTTTCAGGTGTCTGAGTTACAGAATAGTGGAAGGCAAATGCTTCTGGTTACAAGTGGTGCTGTAGCTTTTGGCAAACAAAAACTTAGACACGAGATACTTCTCTCTCAGAGTGTTCGTCAAACGCTCAAGCCACAAGATGTCCTGAAGGTACTGTATTTCACAACACCTATTACGTTTACACTTAGATAAGTATACCCTTAAAAAGCACCCTTGTGGCAAATTATGTTAACCCCTTAAGTCTCCCAGATCAAATTTGTAATTCTCCTTACTTTCAACCATACAATTCTTATAATATCAGTTCAGAGAATTTAGTATTGGATCAACTAATTATCCCCAAATTGACATTTGTCTTTATTCTCATCACTTATCTGGTTGATATTGTATTGATATTGTAAGGAGAAATTGTGTCTTGGTCACTCATGGGAGTTAATTGGTTTAAACTCCCAGTCTATGAATGTTGAAAGTTCAGCTTGAATTTTCCAACGTTAACTTTTGCAGTCTGTATTACTTATCCTTATTATCCTTAAGCAACCTCATTTTCACAAGCTATCTTTAACCTCGTTCATTATTTGTATGTCTCTGTTGTACTGGGGTCACGAGTTTTGAGCCCCAGACCTGACCAACACACAACGTCTTGAAGTAAGTATTAACCCTTTTCACCCTAAGAGTGACCAGCATCTAGTTTCTCCTGACAATAATACTACTGAATCATTCATTTTAGATCATGAGAATTAAGGAAATTGTCACAAATTAAAGAAGCTCTTGATTGTTAAACAAATTCTCCTCATCAGCACCTTAGGAAATGTATAGATAACAGTATGGAGAATGTGCACACTGATGTTAGGTTGTAAAGGGTTAACCCTTTAGCTCCCATGAGTGACCAAGACAGAATTTCTCCTTACAATATCAACACAATGTCAACCAGATAAGTGATGAGAATAAAGAAAAATATCAATTTGGGCATAATTAGTTGTCCTAATACTTATTTCTCTGAACTAACATTGTATAGTTGACAGTAACAAGAATTACAAATGTGATCTGGGAGTTAAAGGGTTAAGGAGAATTTGTGCTACCTTTGTTATGACATCTGCAAATAGTTCGTCTTCTCAAATAACAATGAAAAAAAGTTGGATCCCTATCCTGCATCTTTTTTATATGCATTAGGGATGCTAACCAACCCAAGCTCTTCTTGCAAAGAGTAGGGAATGTAGCTCAATCCCAGTGTTGTGGTTTGGCCTTGTTTCTAAACATTTCAAAATTAAGGGAGAATGTGCTATATAAATGCATCTTTATCATTCCAGTTATCATTATCTATACGATTATAAATGAGCTCCATCTAGGGAATCATCTGATGTGCAAACTCAAAATAATTCAAATTAATAATAATTTTGTACCAAGACAATCACTCTCTGCTTGACTATGACAACCTGTACAAAGATAGGTCTTCAAAATGTACAGACACAGGAAATAATGTACAGAACAGTATTTTGTTACCATTAGCCTTATCATTACCTTCATATAATGTACTCAGTTAGTAATACTGTGTTCTTGCAGTCAAGGCCTTATATTGAACCAAGAGCATGTGCAGCTGTAGGTCAGGGAGGATTGTTGTCACTCTATGAAGCCATGTTTCAGCAGTATGGCCTGACTTGTGGACAGGTATGTTTAAAGATTATTGCAAAAGATTATTTTGCTTCAAAATTCAAACCTAGTGGTATTTAGGTGATTCTCCGATGTGATACACAGTGGAAATAATTAGGGATCTCTGAGCACACAAATCATAATTTCATTTTCTTTTGTCATAAGTTAAAACCAAAATACCACTGCTTTTGCACTAAGAAACTTGTAATTCATTGAGGACTGATGGTTTTTTTGAGAAAGAAACATTGAAGGCAAAATAACAGGTACAAGGAGCACATTGTATACCTTTATTGTCAATTTCTTTCATTTCATTTCATTATTCCTTGTGTTGAGTGTTTTAATGGTCTCTCAATCTTAACTGAACTACATACATTTTTCAAGATCTTACACCACAAAGTCAGGTGCAATAAGCAGTAAAATCACCAGTATGGCTGATTGGTTAAGCTCCTCAAATTTCACAAAGCACCTTTTGAGTTAAAGACAAGGAATAGTGGTTTACTAATTTCAGTTCTGAAAAAAAAACAAACAAACAAACAAAGCCAATACCCACATGCAACCCTCTTTACCGCATAAAGTAACACTTTGGGTAGGAAGTAATGGACAGGTATAAATTGATTGATCAATTGGTCAGTAAAATTTATCATAAAGGTCAACTGGAGAGTTACGAGTGGAGGGGGAGGGGGTAGGGGGTAGGGTAATACTTATCAAAAGTGCTGTTAGTATTTTGCTTGAAAAGTGTTCTTTTACCATGATGTGTCATCAGTTGGTGCTACAACATTGGTGCCTCATTGAGTAATTACTTGTAAAAAAATCTTATCAGACAAATGTTTCAGCAAGCAGTGTTTGAATCTTAAATCATGGCATGACTTAAATTAGACTTTGGAGAAGTTATTTGTGGTAGGACTCTCACTTTGCTTCTTGTTTTCTTTCAGTTACTGTTGATTGTGTGTGGGTAAAGGGGAGAACCTTTTTTGACCATTTGCCCATCTTGTCTCTAGCTCCATCGCCCCTGTCAGGATTTTCTTTCTCAGAGTCAGACTGAGTGTAGTATTAAAATTACACATTTTCAAGCATGAGCATAGTTTTCAAGCATAGATTGTTGTTTTCATTTTTTTTTAGCTTTTTTTTTTTTTGCTTTTCAATTTTTAAGCTCCAGATAACATGATAGTTTTAGTTAAGGACCATCATTGAAGGTTCCTTTTTTTGTGAGGGAGGGGAAAACCAGTAAGCATTTCATCCATGTTAAGGAAAGTTATTTTTATTGTTATCATTATAAAATTTGCAGAATGTTTATTATAACTAGAATTATTAAAATTGTGCTTTGCAGGTGCTGATCACAAAGCAGGATGTATCTGATAAATACTCACTGGATAACCTAAGGTCAACAGTGGAGGAGTTAATTTCCATGAACTGTATTCCAATAATAAATGAGAATGATGTTGTGGCATCACCTCCAGGCATGGATCTAGATTTGGCTGGGGTGAGTACAATAAAATTCTTGTTACAGTTCATGGTTTGAACCTGGGGTCAACATTAAATTGTGTAGTCTGAGGGTCCAGGTAAGTAGTCTCGATGAGCACACTGTTTTAGGCAGTTGTGACTGATGTTTTTACAACTTTAGCAGAAAGTCATCATCAGAATCCTTCTCAGGAATACCACCACCGGGATTATCAGACTACACAATTATCAAGTAATAATTGATAATAATCATCAAATAATCAAGTGCAATTTTATTGATGTATGTGGATAGATGTACTTTCATGACTTATGGAAATGACACACATTTTGCACATTAGAGTGAATTTGAAAATCAAGGGTGACAGAATTTGCTGTAAATTGGATGACAGAATTCTTCTGAGCATGTAGATGGACTGCAACATCATTTTTTCATATTTTGGTCTCTTTGATCAGTTACACGTAATTCTCATGTCTTCCCTTAGCTGAAACTTTCAGACCTCCATAATCGTATTCTTTACTCTTGACAAATTTATAAGGGTTTTGTTGAAAAAATTCCCTTGGTAGTAGTATATTTATGTATACATGTTGTAGTTGGAGTGGTTTGAGTTAAAACAATCTCTAAGAATCTTGAATTTTCTTGCTGGTTGAGGAGTAATGTGCTGTAGAACAAAGGAGAGTACAAATCAAACCAGCAATAGTTTGAATTCATTTTGACTTAAAATACGTTTTAAACTGCATCACTAATTTTATCCTGTGTCATGTAGGAAGGTATCCCATAGGTTATGTGCCTACACTGTTCATTATTCTCTTCCATTGTTTGGCCATAGACTACAACTTAATGTTAGTCAGACAGAGTAAAACATTATGTGGGGAATGAATTTTCTAAGAGAGTGAAAATTTGCTCCTTTTTTAGTGAAACACTCACCCAAACTGCTAGTCACAAATGGATTAACAAGACACAAATAAAGCATTTTTTCTTCTCGTGAAATTTACCATCAATTGGCTTAGATACTCAGGTTTCAACATTTTTTTAAAAATATGTTTGGTCTGTTTGTCACCTTTAATAAAGAAATTGGATATTCAATTGACATGATAATATTATGTTAATTGCCCACCAAGTTGCTCTAACTTGCAATTCAGAGCAGGAGCTCAATTTCAGTGAAAAATTCTAACTTATTAGTTTTTTTTCCTAATTTATAGAAGCCTCAGAAGGTTTTTTATCATTCAATTCTGAGTTCTGAATAACATTTGAAGCTTGAGGTCCTATTATTTGCTAGTTGGTTGGTCTGAAGAATTTCAGGCCTGCAAATTTCATGAGCCTGTTTAAAGCCAACGCAAATACAGTGTGATGTGCATCCACTTTTAGAAACTTAAAGAAGCTGTGTAATATTTTTTTCCAAATTAAAAATTGATTTCCAAATTCTCCATTTGAAATGTGTGGTAGAATCTTTTTAATGGATATTTAGATGTACTTTGTTTTTGGTATGTAAGAAGGTGTCAGTGTGAGTGGTCCATGGAAAGCTTTTTGGCTGATTCCTCTTTCAGAATTTCCTGGGTGAGAAAGTCAATTTGTTTCCCCACTTCCCCAGCCTAATCAGATAAAAAATAAATGAATGACCTTTAATTTCACACTTTAGAACTGAATAAGTCTTTGTACTATCTACTTATTGAACAAAAATTATTTTAAGATTATTTCCCCCTTTTTTCTGCTTTGCTCTCCACTTGCTTTCATTTGTTTACACCACATTTAATGTTGTCAAATTCATCATTTAAAATTGGTCTTCAAAATGTCTCTTTCATTTGTATGAAATGTGTTCATCAAAATAATCAATATTTTGTCAAATAGAGATTTAAGTCATTGTATTAATTCATACCTTTCATCCCGTTCTAAGATTTTTTTATTATTTCTGTCCTTGAGTGTGTCCTCTATTTGTTAGGTGCACATACACTGTAATTTGTCCACTGCCATGTACATCTTTCATTTCACACAGTTTGCATGGTTGACCTTTTTCCTCAGACATACAGCTTCCTGTGCTAAATTCTTTTCAGTTATGTCATTATTACTCATTCTAGCATTTGAAGTTGGCAGTTTTCTTTCTGCATTGAAAGTTTTCTGACTTTTTTTATTATTTTGGTAGTTGTGAATTTTTTTCCATCTGTTTGTCAAAACTGTCTCAATATTTTTAAGCAAACTTTTCAAGTCAGAATAGTTTAGTTAGCTATATTAGGTAGATAGCATTTCAATAAGCAGTTCCAGAACCTTTTCATAGCCATCATAACCAGGTCATATCCTGGAAAACTCTAGGGGGAATTACATTAATTGTATGCTTTCATCAGGCACAACTTTTGAAGAAAATCAATTGAAACAAACTTAAATTTTCAGACTGGTAAGAGCTTAGCTTGCGAGCAGAACATAATTAAAAGTGCTTCAACAAAGCTTTTCTGTCCAGTGGAAGAAGTCATGTTGAAGTTTGAAACCTTGAACAACACAAGCCAATGAGAGGTTGGCAAGGGATCTAGCAATGATAGTTTGTGCCAGATCCATTACAGACCTCTCACCAGCTTGCTTTACTCAAAGTCTTAAACTTACTTATGGTTGAAGAAACGCTAAGCCACAATGCCAATAACTTGAGAGCCAGAGTGCTCACAGGCTAGTGGGGTCTCCTTCACTGTATAAGTGTGTTGATATCTTTTGAAATGACTGAGGCAAAATTGGTAGGAACCATCTGTGACCATTAAGCAGTGATTGTTCCTATAAAAACGTATGATTTCTGAACAAACTAGATACAAGAAGTTTCAGTGATAATTTCTGTTGGAAATTAGTGGTTGGTTATGGGGAGCATATGGATAAAAAGATTGTGCTCCTTACTGACTGAGAGGTCACTGGAGGGGTAGGGTGTGGAGGAAAGACAGTGTATGAAATGCTGCATACACTCATCCATTGCAGCTGTAACAGGGTAATTTAGTGTTATCAACTGAGTTGAAAATGTAAATTGGCCACCATAAAGAGTTTAAATTTCAATTGCTCTGAAGAAGGGCTAACACTCGAAACGTCAGGCTGTAAACTCTTTATGGTGGCCAATTTACGTTTTCAACTCAGTAGTTAACACTAAATTACCCTGTTATACTCTCCCACCAATGTAGCACCACAGTTTCCTCAGAAACTTACCCCCCTCTACTCACTGCACTTGTAGTTTCATTCAAATTTTTTCTGAGTTGTATGGCTCTGTTATGTTTTAAATTCTGAGAAGGAGCAGTATGCATCAACCTTTCCATTTCATATCCCATGCTTTTTAATTAATTCTTCTTATTTAGTCTTGCTTGGTCCCATTATACTTAGATTGCAGAAAAAAGGCAGTGTGCACCACCCATTCACTTGATCCCCTGCAGAAATTATTTCTCTTAGATACTCTATGTACCAGATGACTTGATGGTGTAGCCTTAATGAAGAAGAATCTAATTTGACAGGGTTGTCAGAGAGCTTCTGAGTAGGCTGCATTATTGTGGAATTTGCTTTCTGTCCCATGCCAAAGAAACCAAGGAAATTTTCCAGTTATATTGACTGAGTGGCCAAAAGCATGAAACTCATTTTTTTTTGAAAACCTTTTTCATACAATTCAAGTTAAGACAAAGTTTTATGTACAATTTAGCTCAGTGAGAATGTAGTTAAAAGCTAGACAATGAATTTTTCTAATACTTTCATTGTCTCCTTCCCTTACATGCACTATTGTTCCAACTTGATAAGATGGCCAGGGCACCGGTAAGTAATATTTTCAATCACAAATCCCTAATTCAGTCACTCACCAGCATTTAGAGAAGTCAGTTGTTACTAGAAGTCATAGTTAGTGAATACAGAAGTTGAAACTTTGTTATTTGTTTCCTGGTTAATATCAATTTCAAGGACTATCTATCAAACATAGAGCCTGAAAAATAGATTGGCAAAAAAACATGAAATTAGTACAAAAAAAAATTCCATGTTTAGGCTTCAGATCCCTTAAAACTTAAGAGACCCAGTCAAAGTACAGCATCTACATGTTCATTGTGAATTCACAGTCAGACTTAAAAATTGCCTTCGGTCCACCAGTTAGTGAAACATTAAAATTTGTGGTGGCATATCAGAGATTGACCTAGATTTTTAGGATGTCGTGCATTTTTGGCATTAGCACATGGCTGCAGTGGGTCAGCCTGGCATTTGTAGCTTTTAATCCTTTAACTCCCAAGATCTGATTGTAAATTCTCCCCTCTAGCTGCTACACATTTCCTTATAAACTAGTTATAAGAATTTAGTGTCAGATCAAGATAAAAAGTTCTACCTGATTAGTTTTGAGTATTCTCATTATCTGTTTGCTGGGTAATGTATGAATACTATGGGGAGAAGTTACATTTTGATCACTTCTGGGAGTTAAAACCAATTCTAGACATAATTTTTCACTCATCTTTAGTTTCCTTGTTAAGACTGTGTCGGACTGAATTTATCTCACTCATTGAATTGTTTGCTGGTCATGCTTAAAGCACCCAGGTATTCCAGTTCTAAAACATTGAAATTGAAGGACAGACGGCTTTTTTAACAAAGTTTTACTAGTGAAAGGCAGATGAACACTTGTTTATAATCTCGGCCTGATTTTGTGATTTTCACTGGACTCTTTCATCTCGTTTCCTTTGTTGAGATCAGAGGACTTTTGGCAGAGATTAACATATATCTTGTCCTTACAATATCTTTGCATTAAATCTTACCACCTTAACATCAGTATGCATATTCTCCACACTGTTCTCTATACATTTCGTATGGTACTGACTGGGAGAATTTGTTTGACAATCAGTAGCTTCTGTAGTAGGTGATCATTTGATCTATTCTCAGTACCCTAATGTTTGATTTAGCAGTCATATTGTAAGAAAAAATTAGCATGATGCTCATCACTCTCAGGATTAATCACGGGCAAACTTGAAAGTAATCACTGTATCCGCAACATCGCAGATACAAACCCTACAATTCTGCAGTCGTTCTGAAAATATAGGAATCTTAGCTTAAGATATAATTTTCAGTTGAGTGTCGAAAGAAATTCGGGATTGCGTTGGGGTTTTACATAACTTTGCTCTGTGATTGGCCCAGAAAACTCGCCCCATCTTCTCAATCAATCAGATGCGAAACTAAAAACCGACCGGCTTGGTCGCAGGCGTTTTCCCGCGCGCTTCAAGCAGTTTACTGTTTTTCTCTTTGAGTTCTCATTGGCGAATGACTATGTAAAAATTTTGGCCATTGGGATTACATAGCGTTTGTTCTTTTGACATTCAATTGAAAAGTGCTCTATTTATTACAGTTTGATATTCTCTAGCAAGTGTAATGATCGGGGAAGTACGATTCACTGAATTTAAGGAAATTCCTCAGAGACTCTTGTCAAAGAAATTTGCTATAGTTGGGCATATACAATTAACTGTTCTTATTTCACAAGTCTTCTTTGCAAGACTTCTACGACGATCTAGCAAGTTTCATCTTCAAAAAGTTTAAGCTCTCAGGGACTCCCTGTTCAAAATCTGGCAAGTTTGATTTTAGACACGGCGAACTGTTCAGGAAAACTTCTCATATTTATTGTTTAACTCTCAGGAAAGTCTTTCTTGATATTATTGTGAAGCTTCAGCATAAATGTGGATTTGATTAGAACGTGTCTGTTACTCTAGTGTTCTAAGAAAAATATCCGATTCTTGTTGTTTTCATCAGGTGATAAGTGTAAAGGACAATGACAGTTTATCTTCCTTGCTCTCAGTGGAACTGAAGGCAGATTTGCTGTTGATATTATCAGATGTGCAGGGCATTTACAGCGGCCCTCCTGACTTGCCCGAGTCTCGCCTTCTGGACACATTCAGGCCAGCGGACGTCAGTAATATTGAATTTGGAGAAAAGTCACGTGTTGGCAGAGGAGGCATGGAGTCTAAAGTGAAGGTTCGTACTTAATCATACGTGATAACCATACATAATCTTAATTAGGGGATTATTGGGGCTCTTACTTGATGTAGAAGATACAGTATACGTCACACTATTGTGACTATTGTGTAAACTGTATCTTCTACACCAAGTAAGAGCCACTATTGGTCATTATCTATCGCGGGGGGAAGAGAGTGAGGGTTCGGAGAAATGTTTTTACTTGGCTCTAGTAGTTTTTAGAGGGAGGACTGCCAATGAGCGGGGATTGTTAGAATATTACAGATTCTCGAAAGGAGGTTAGGAGAATTTTATTTTGACGCAACCAAAATCCTCAGAGAATTTTCGACACTGTATCGCACTGAAATTCCCGTTCGTAAGTGACGAGCTGTTATTCAAAAACATGGTGATACAACATTATTTTTGACGTGATAAAATTATAATAAAAGTAAAGGCGAAAAGGATACTGAATTTTAAGGAAAACTTGAAGTCAGAAAGACAGGTATTTTTAGTCCACCTCACTGAAATTCAGCCAAGTCATACAAATTTTGTACGATCCATATATAGGTAGGGATTTTTCAATTTATAATTTGAGTACATCTTAGTTACAGTACAGTACCGTTTTCAGAGTTATCCACTCGGTAGAATATTTCGAAAATCTCCGTTTTCAGTGGATTAGACTGAACGCCAGGCATAACCGTAAGTCACAGCACGGTGTGGACGGCGCCTCACAGTAACTCTTTTACAAAGGCAAGTTTGCGTTTGAATCTTGGGGAAAGAAAGATCGAAACAGTTTCGCTTGGCGTGTCTACGTGTGCAATTAACTGTTGAAGAAAAAGACTTATCGAATCTGAATGATAAATTATTTCAACTCGTACCTTCATCATTTTTTTTTTACCTCTGCATGACTCTTCAGGCCGCAGCCTGGGCACTAGAGAGGGGTACGAGTGTTGTTATAGCCAATGGTACTGGCAGTGACTACGTCATTCGTGAGGTTCTGGATGGCCGGAAGGTTGGAACATTCTTCACTATGGTCGACGAACCAGGGCCATCTGTAGAGAATCAGGCTGCGGCAGGTACGTCAGAATGTACCTCAGTCCATGTCATCGTCATTTTGTTGTTCACCTTACCGTGATTGGTTCGAAAATGAGAGCAGCAGGCTAATCAGAAAGCGAGTTATATTAGATCGAAACTTGATTGTTATTGTTTTTATGTTTAAAATTCTCGCTGAGTACGAACTCTAATGGCCATCTGATACTGGTTCATCTCGAACTAAAATTACATATTTTGAAACCTTGAGGAGAAGAATCCTGAAAAGAAAAAAATTGGAATGTTAACTGGTCATGTTCTCACAGGATTTGTGAAAATATTGATTTCAGATGCTATAATGCAAGATGGGGGCAGTTTTGTAGATACGGTTTCTCCCCCTCACCGAAAACTAGTGGTTAGGTTATTCCCATGTGATGGTATGCCGAGAGATCAAGGTTGATCATGTGACTGTACTAAACAACTGCATGGAATTTTGCACTTTCCTCTCGGGATATACTAGTTTTATTGAATTTTTTTCTTAGATTATAATTTATCTTTCTTTTTTCTGCGAAAATGTGTTCTTCAGTTTCTTTTTTTATTCTTTTTTTCTAAGCTCGAAAGGGAGGAAGAGCTCTGCAAGCACTGACCGCTGCCCAGGTACGGTTGTAGACTTCTGTTAAACGCCTATAGTCAAGTAATTGTTTACTCTTCATTTAATTCCTTTTTCAGGTGTAGCTAGCAGAACAGGAAAGAGTTTTTTTTGCGCTTTCAGTCGAACGGAGGCAAACGCAAGGCGAGCGCAAGTAACACGTTCCTCCCCTCGCACCTGACTCGCACTTCGCGCTCGCCTCTCGCTTGCCTCCGTTCGATTGATGAAACGCAAAAATATTACGTCTGTCGTGCAGGCTGGTTCAGGTCATTTCAAATCATCCAGATTTTTCAACTTGATTTCAGAACGAGAAATTCGGCAAAAAATGACGCAAAATTCCCTTTGGCTAAGGGGTAGCGCTCGGTATTCGTTAGCATCTTTTTTTTTCTTCTCCCTTTCTCTCTCTCGCTTTGCTTTACTCAGCCTAGTTTTCGAAGCTCGACTTGGAGTCAAGTCTCCTCATGCCTTATATGTTATTTCAATATTCAAACTTCACGTGTTGTTTTGCGGTTTATGTGATGCGCTTTTGTTTTTCTTCTTATGTGTTTCGTTCAGCGGGCCAGAATCATCTACAAGTTAGCTAACCTTCTAATGGAACGCAAGGATCAGATTTTAGACGCTAACTCTTTGTCTCTCTTTGTTTTCCTCAGCCTAATTTTTTGAAGCTCGACTCGGAGTCAAGTCCCCTCATGCCTTATCTGTTATTTCAATGCTCAAACTTCGCGTGTTGTTTTGCAGTTTAAGTGATGTTCTTTTGTTTTTCTTTTTATGTGTTTTGTTCAGCGGGCCAGAATCATTTACAAGTTGGCTGACCTTCTAATCGAACGCAAGGATCAGATTTTAGACGCTAACTCCAAAGATCTGGACCATGCTCGGTTTGAGGGACGACTACCGGCTCCCATGATGGCCAGATTGCTTTTGACGCCGTCCAAACTTGAAAATCTTGCTCAGGGACTGAGACAGATTGCGGATTCCTCTCACAACATCCTGGGTCGTGTTCTTAAACGAACCAAAATCGCTCAAGGTCTAGAACTGAAACAGGAAACTGTTCCAATTGGAGTGCTTCTCGTGATTTTTGAATCTCGCCCAGATGCTCTAGTGCAGGTACAGCTGTGGTCAATTAACAATTGGTTCATACGTCAGCGTGCGTTCATCGAGATTTGAAGCACGCGGGAAGTTTGGAGAGCACGAAAGATGCGTAAGAGTTGCTCGAGGCGTAGCCGAGAGCAACTCTAGCTTCTTGAGTGCTCTTCAAACTTCCAAGTGCGTCATATCTCGATGAACGCACAGCTACCGTATGAACCAATTGTTTTATAACATGTTCAACCAGATGGAAAATTTTTTTCCTCGAGGGATTTGTTTGCTGACGTCATGAGCGTGCACAATAGGAATGAGGCACGCTCGCGCAATTGAATTTGATTACACAAATTTACTAGCTATGTTATAACACATGTTGATTATTACTCGTGTATATGAGATACGGCTACTGAACGTTATGTTTTAAACAGAAAGATACGACCTCTTAGAAAACAGAATGGATATAAGGGTTGCCATGGGTTGAGTCAAATATCTAAGCATCATTTCGCTGTAGTATTGACGTGTATTTAAATAAATCAGGCAGTATTGCCGCGCGTATGTTTTCAATGGAAAACAACTCTGTTCCATCCAAAAGTCACTTGTGAACTGCGTTGAGAATTGATTTTGTTCTCTAATTATCTAAAATTGTAGATTAAAAGTGTGTGTAAAACATAGCTTATGCCTAAATGACTCTACATAATACTATAAGATTTAGAAGTCGACTTTACGTGGCGTTAAGATATGGACAGTATTTGTTTGCTCATTGTTTGTTCGTTTGTTTGCTGTTTTTGTGTATTGTTGCTGTTTTTGTTGTTTTGTTGTTATTTATGTTTTATTTTGTTTGTTAGTTAACTGCTTGAGTTGAGGTGAAGTTAAATTATTACACTAAAGTTCTGCTTTCGTAAACCCCAGGTGTCTTTAACCTTACATAAAGAAGACGAAAGGGATTTTTTTCTTTCTCTGGTTTTGTTTGTTCATGTATTTGTTTGCTTTCCTCCTCTTAAGCTGGATGTTTTTTCTCCAAGGTTGCCTCTCTAGCTATCAGCACAGGCAATGGTTTGCTTCTGAAGGGTGGCAAAGAAGCTTATCACAGTAACAGATGTCTTCACAGTCTTGTTGCAGAGGCTCTGTCGATGTACGTTCCTCCGGAAGCTGTTAGTTTGGTAAGTTTTGCGACGGTTCTGAGTGATTGCAATTTTTACCTCAAAATTGAATTTTTCTGCCCTCAATTTCAACCTTCTTAACTGTTTTGCATTTAAATCTACTTCCCACACTGAATTTGGACTAAGTAGCTTTCAGTATGTCTTTTACACTCTCAATGATTTCTTGGGACGAGCTTCGAAAATCTTTTGACTTCCAAAACAGGAAAAGTGGGTACCCTGTTCAGACCGCATTTCGATCGGGTGTCATAAAAACAGTTTTAAGTGCTGGAAAATACGAATAACTATTTCGCCTCTGTTTTAGTTTTGGATCTGATCGGTTGAGGAAGTAGTAGGAGTTTTCTGTACCAATGGCAAGGTGCAGTAAAGTAAACCCAAATAAAAGGGATTCCGAATTACTTTGAACACTTAAGTGGAAATTTTTCTAATAAGCGAAGCGCGATTGTAGCGAAAGTGTGTTAAATGAAGGAATTTTGCGTGTACCCATCCCCGTTCTTTTCGCTCGCCGTTTACTGAATTCCGGGCGATCATTTCTCTTGGAAACCTTGTCACAGATCTGTCATCGAACTCTGTGAGCCGAGTGCAACCCTGTCAAAGCTGTAGTCTTTATATACTGATCGTGTATTTATTATGATAGGTCAGTACTCGAGAAGAGGTAAATGATCTACTTCAGTTGGATAAATACCTGGACTTAGTCATCCCGCGAGGCTCCAGTGAGATGATTGAGCGCATCCAGACAGAGAGCAAAGGAATTCCTGTTCTTGGGCATGCTGAGGGAATTTGCCATGTGTATGTCGATAAAGATGCAGATCTTGAAATAGCCACCAAGATTGGTAAGGATTATTTAACTCATTATTGTACCTTATGCTTGGTGAGGGAAGCGTTCCTTTGCTGATTTTGCTTAATTTTCAATTGGAAGTCGTGATGACCCGCGATTGCTTAACTGCGCACCGTGATTGGTTTAGAAAACTCGCAGCTCTCTCCTAACCAATCACCCTTGATTCGGGTGCGAATGATGCGACACGAACACGCATTTTGCAATCTTCAGCATAACTTCGTGGATACTGCTTGCGGTTCTTGTGCGTGGGATCAAAACCGCAACTTGGATTCACTGTGCCTCAGGGATCATGGAATACGAAAATTTTGGTTCGCTTCAATTTCCAGCAATAGCCAATACCTGTAAAAATTTATTCACCTGGATGTTCAAACGCGCGGAACGTATTGGGCCCAACAAGGCTGAAAATGTTAGTCAACAATGAATATTTTACCGAGCTCTCATGGGCAATATCTTCAACTAAACCGTTCTTCAATCGCTGACCCGTTTGGGCTTAATGATTGCCAAGAGAAACATTCCGATGTGAGTGGTCGTACATTTACAACCGTTAAACTTCACTAGATCATCTGTATTTTGGTTACATTATACTCTATTCTTTCCGTTTGTAGTGGTGGATTCCAAATGCGATTATCCTGCAGCTTGCAATGCTATGGAGACTCTTTTGGTACACAGGGATCTCATAAGGTCACCATTTCTGGAACGGATGCTGAAGGCTCTTAGAGAAAAAGGAGTAAGTCGAAACCCTTTACACCCTAACATTAGTATGCGCTTTTCCCAAACTGCACTCTATACATTTCGAATGATAATAACAGGAAAATCACGAGTTTTTTTAGTTGGTGATCATTTCCCATATTTTCATGACTTCAACATTTGAATCGAAAGTGATAATGTAAGGGGAAAATACATGTTAGTCACTCCAAGGGGTTAAACAGTTAATGTCCTAGAACACACTGCTTTGAACTTGTTGTGGTGGATGCAACATGAGCGCGTGAGGTAAGTTCGCTTCTAGGAAAGTTTTATAGCGTTGCTTTTCAACGGTTATAAATTTTTGTGTGTTATTTTGCACAAGTGATATCTTTTTTATCGTTCCTCACGTTCTTTGCGTCAAAATCGCTAAATTTGACAAAACTATGAGGAGACCGCGTTGAGTTAAATTGAAGCACAAAACTGGACATTTTTTCATTCAGTGCGCTTTATTTGTCCGCCGCTAACCTACGTAAGTTCGTTCATTACACATGCTGGACGAAAGGTGCGTCCTCCTAAGTAAAGACCACCAATATCTACAGTAACGCTTTTTCAGTAGCACTCCGTTTGCAAATTTTGCTTTTTTTATTTCTACGTCCTATCGATTTTATTTGTCCTTTTTTTTATTATTATTATTTTTTTTAAGGTGATAGTTCACGCCGGACCCAACTTAGTGAAAACTTTACCGCTGGCTCCGGCTCCTGCTAAGACCATGAAGAAAGAGTACAGTGGGTTAGAGTGTACGGTGGAAGTGGTAAGGACCACAGAGGAAGCCATTGATCACATCCATAAATTTGGAAGCTCACATACTGATGTCATTATCACCGATAATGGTAAGAATATCGTACTCAATCTTAGCCTTCATCTCTCGGTAATCAGGGTTCTTCTCATCTCTGTTTGTGTCGCAACGATTTTCGCGCGAGTTGTTCGGAGGTGAAGAGCAAAGGATGTTCGGAGTTTGAGGGGCCAATCAAAGCGCGCTTTCGACTTTTTCGGTATATACTAATTGTGGCTATCTAAAAAGATTCGTAAATGACCAAATCTCCTGAAAGGAAACCTCTACTAGCGGAACAAGTTACTGTGACGCCGATGAAAATTGGGTGCAATGTGAAGATTCGTCGGAATTTATTGGACGCAAGGTCTAAATTGTACAGGAATTTGAAACAAATGAAAGCCACATTGGATTTTCTGAAGTTGCCGCCGCAAGCAATTTTAACCAACGGAGATGTTGCCTAAAAGTTTGCAAAAGTTTACATTATAACAATACAACGTCAGTTTGTTCCAGTAGGGGTCATTTCTTTCAATAATTCTGAGGCCCACTTCTGAGGGTCTTTTCTGTAGCCATCAGCTCTTCAATCTGCCGAGCAGTCCGTCTTCGTTTTGCGCAAGAATCGTTTACACCCCCTCCCCAGCCCTCACAACTCCATGTTCCATGGGTCACCTGGTTGGGGGAATCTGGTGTAAGGAAAAAAGTGCTATCGATGCGTGAGTCACTTGCTCTGCGAGCAATGCCTTGTTTGTGTTTTTGTTGTTGTTGTTGTTTTTTATTTATTTTTGTTTTTTTTGTTTGTTCGTTCTTTTTGCTGTAAGAACGTAAAAGGGAATTTACGTAAGCTTCATTACGCAGGGCAATACACGCAACTCGCTCATATTTCTCCGTTTCTTTATTACGCAACGTATAATTCAGTTCACAAATTTTTAAGCAGCGCAAGACGCATTTAATACTTTTCGTTGTGCATATTACTGAATAAACCCTAAAATGTTTTTTTCTCAGGAGAGACTGCTGATCACTTTCTGAAGGCTGTGGATAGTGCGTGTGTCTTCCACAACACAAGCACGAGATTTTCGGATGGGTATCGCTTTGGCTTGGGTAAGTATGAAACATTTTTCTCAGGTATTACAGGAACACAATTGCCGTAAAAAGTTCCGTTCGTGAAGCGCAAAATTGAAGAGAAATGACCCGGTGGGAGGAGAAATTTGCTTCGATTTTATTTATGGAGTGTGAAGTGTAAAAAAAAGATTATCCCAAAAGAAAATAAAAGTCAAGTCACATTTTAGGAAAGCCTTAATAAATAAAAAGGGCTACTTTACTCGTAGATACCATAAGTCTGGGAAACAGGTCGCAGGCCCGCAACAACGATAGTGGTGGAGTTGGATTTCTTATTTTGACGCTGTAATGGCGATGAAATCCTCCACGGCCAGTGTTCTTCATGTAGTGTTGTTACTTTTCGTTTTCGTTTCATAAAGTCATGTGGAACTAGAAGCTTTTAAACCTTTAACTTCCGTGAGTGACCAGGCCCCGTTTCTCGGAGGTCCTGGTAACTTAACTTTCACTCAATGTGGGGGCTTCAGAAGTTTGGTAATTATGCAATAAAACTATCAGCTAAAGAAACAAAATGTGCCGGGTAGGATGCCGGCGCCAGAACCTGCTGATCTATTCTGTAAATTTTTATTTTGAAATATTGCTTCGGGCTCGTTGAGTCAGCGAGACTGTAGAGAAGCCATAACTGACGACCTGTTGTAAAAAAAAAAAACTCGCTCAGAAATGCATCTAACATTGATCTCGGGAGATAAACATGGATTCAATTTTACCAGAAGGACTATTTTTAGTTTTCTTTGAGTGGTTGTACATGTAAAGACCGTTTAATAGTGGTGAAAATTACAGTCGTCAAAGGAAAAATTTCGTACTTCGAAAACCGACTGCTTAGTGCATGGTGACCGCTTGATGCAGGTTCGACTGTGCAAACAGCAGCACCTTGAACGCCCGGTATAGCACCACTGCCTTGATTGGGGATGCACGTTACCCTTTGTTCCTATGAGTGGATTATCAGGGTTTTCTTTTCCTGCGTAGGGGTATTGTATTGTTGAACTTGCCCGAGGAAGCCGGGAGGGGAATTCAACGAGTCCTTTAAAGGTACAGGATACTAAGTAAACGCCATTGTTTTATTTAGGTGCTGAAGTAGGTATCAGCACGGGTCGTATCCATGCCCGGGGTCCTGTGGGTGTGGAAGGACTACTGACCACCAGATGGGTGATGACTGGTCAGGGGCACACAGTGGCTGACTTTGCTGAAGGAGGCTTGCTCAAGTATCTTCACGAGACCCTCCCAATTGAAGACGCTCCTCAGGATTCTACTGATGAAGAAACGACTTCTGACAATGGCGAAAGCGAAGTTATACAGAAATAACTCCTTAATGCAGAAAGTGAACGTCAGTTTGCGCACAGTACTCGTTATATGAGTCAATGTTACGCTTTTCATAAGCATATATTTTTAAACGTTCCGCTGAATAACCTATTATTTTGTTAAGTTTATTTCAACCAGTGCTGTCATGCATTCCTCTTAGTTTTCCTATTTATTACTAGACACTGTATAAATATCAAGTAACTTTTTTTTTTTGCGAATAGCTTAAAGCGGAGCCCCAGTCTTAAGAAAATACGGATACTTATCAGTATAGGAATATTTGGTTGGCTTTGGGTTCGACCTCACGCAATCTTAATACCTTGTTAACGTTCTTGTGCTCCATGCTCAAGTCCTATTGGTGAATATAGCGAAATAATAACTGTGAGGTGACCCCCAACATTTGACTGTTACGTGGTCAGGACAGGCTACGAAAAGCAGAAAACCTGACTCTTGAAAAAGGATACCAAACTGAAAGAGGTTCGTTAATAATGATGACAGTAATTATATCGGTATTACCGAGATATTGCAGTCAACCTCGAGGAAGCAAAATATTGGATTCCTTCTTAATTGGGTTCTTGAATCATTCCCGTGGATTTCTCACAATTCTCCGCAAAGGAAAGGGCGGCTGAGAAGTCCCTGATCCTGATGCTTGTTTCAATAACAAGCTAGGTTTGTAAATTAGTTCTCAAACAGACTCTCTTTTTGTGTTCAGAAGGGGAGGAGGAAAAGTGCGATCAGTTCTGACATGTGAACGCAGAACCTTAACTCTGCTATTTAAGTACGGTTGGTACAGATTTAAAATATACATGTTTATCACTGTCAAAACTGTTTATCGTTATTATGCACAATGACAACTACATTTTAAAAACAGACAATCGTTGAGACATCACTGGGTTCAACCCGTGCTTTCGTGGTTACTTCATCTTCTTTTCCATATCTGTCTCATTTCCTCCCTCCACTTACCCCACATAGAAAGCAATGCTGAAAAGTATATTCTTTAAAGAAAAACATAGTTTTAGCAGCGTATTGTGAGCGGTCTTTTCTCTTTGCGTAATAGTATGTATCAACAGCTTTGTCACCGATGTAGGAGATAAAGGACCTACGTAACAGAAACTTAACTATAAATATAACATAAAGAATAAAACCTCAAGGAAGCAAATACGTTTGAAAATTTCTTGTTTTAGCTGGTGCGTATAAGTTCACTAAAAGCGTTTCGACCAATCGCGTTCAAGCTAGAATATGTGATGGATGAAATATCTCAACAGATGACAGGTACAGGTGTCGGGCTACTGTGACCGCTAGCCATTCCCTTTCGGAGAGGTGAAATCTGTAAAGACAAGTTATTTCAAGTTTGGAGAAAGCAGATTCATGTAGCTAGGCTTCATCTAATTCTTTTCTTTACTTGAGTGTCATTATATCAAATGTTCCCCCTTTCTCCTAGAACAGAACATGTTTACCGCTATATAAAGAAATACTGCGAGGTAGTTGGGCGATTATTGATTTATTTTTTAGTTGAAGTTTCATATGCGCAGGCTTTTCGATGTTTTTCTTAATCAAAGTCAATATACTTCGCAAATGATACGGATGTTATAAAAAAGTATAATAGTTGATCACGCCTTTCAAACTACCATACTCTTAGCCTCGGTCAGGTGATGAGGTCGCATTATTGCGTTTCACTATGAGCCACACGGAAGTAAGTATTCCTTCACTCTGCTTGACACTGATAGCATGGAACAAGAGAGCGAAGACTGGAACCAACTTGCCACCGTGACACAGAGACATTCAACAATGGACCACACTAAATAGCGACAACTGTATCACTGTATGATTCTGCCTGCAGCAAATGATGAGCCGTGAAGTCTTATTCCTCTTTGTCTATGTCATCCTGTTTAGGAGGTGATGCCCACGGCTGGCGTTCGCCTGAACAAAGCCACGTGTAGAAAATTACGGCGATAACATAAACAATAAGTGTGATCCAGAATACTATCCTCCACTCTTCTTGTTTCTAAAAGATTTAAGACAATTACTGCATTAAAAACCAAAAGTTTGCGAGCTGGACTTTATTATTAGCTCTGCAAGACGCGCGTTTCTCCGCCCGCGGGAAGATTTTAGACAAGCAGGGAGAGGGGGTCTGGTACTGATTCTGTTAGACCCTCAGCAAACCTCCCGGGTCAGATTTAACTGAGCCAACTTCTTCTCTAGCGGAGAACAAAATGAAGCTTCCTAGGGCGCGTAAGTTTGAGCCTTTATTAGGCATTCAAATCCTTTCTTCATTTTTTTTTTTTGATCGTACAGAAGTCTACCTACTTTGTTTGAAGTAACAAATCCTGTTATTTGAGGGCTTATAAATCCTGGAGTTGATGCAAATGTGTTGGTGAGGCCCATAAGCACCCCTGCAAAGGGCGGGGCAATGTCTAAATGATTGACAGCGTAACCAATAGCATTTAAACCAGAAAATCCAACACCCAACACCAAGAATATAACACTTAATCTCCTTTGCTGAGTATAGCCTGTTGCCACAATAAATATTCCAGCTAATAAACAACCTGTGGACAGAATCGGAGAAGATTTATCTTTAAGGCGAATCTTGAGGTCAGAACTTAATCCACCATCAAGTAAGGCTGAAGTCTGGCTCGCATACATCTATCCAAATGTGCTCAGATTATCAAAAGAAGTGGAGCATTACAAACAAAGAACGTGGAAACTCTAGATTGAAAATGTAGGGCCTTAAATTAAGGCGAAACTGAACAGTTCAAACTCGACGCTACTGTTCGCTTGTCATTTGTTTTTCAGAATCCATCGCGACTCAGTAATTCTCAGCCAGCGAGCAGGTCCTTTTTGATCAGTGCTACAGGACGCACGTTCACATTCCGCGAGGAGATTCGAAACAAGTCGTGCAGAGGTTTACCGGGGATCTGGCAATGATAATGAGTCCGGAAATCTAGCACTAATAATGAGTACCAGACACCGCGACGAAAAAAATCATATGCGAGTCACCCGCATTATCTCCATCTTTCACTTATTTCAAAATTTAAAAGCAGGGTAAAAATATTAACAGTAAACCCTAGCGGAAGCATTATAAATTTATATACTTTTGGCCTTAGTAATTGCATACTACTTACGTACAGATACGCAGATGTAAGTATTACCTGCCCCGTAGAAAGTTTTCCTTACTGTACCGATTTTACAAATCTTGTATCTTATGAGCATATCAGCTGTTACCCCTCCTACTGGACCTAGAATGGCTTTAAACAAATACGGACAGGCTGCTAGGAATCCAGTCTGAAACGAGAACAAATGAACATTGTCTCTATGTCGGTAGGCGAATTCACACTTTTTACAGACATTCTTCCCTCCCATGTATTCAGAAAAACTTTGACTGCCCTGAAGGCCTATAGAGCACTCATCCCTTTTTCGAGCTTATAATCATAATATTTGTCAAACAAACACGTTTTTAAACACAGACAATAACCCTCACTCAATATGCTCGAGGCTTACGAGTAAACTTCGCCCGAAAAAAAATCAGCAACAACAATAGCTAAAAAAGCAAACTTATGTCTGGTGGTTTTCATAGTCTTTAACTCTATAAAATCATAGGAAAAAATACTTATTGTGTCACATCGCCGCAGATACGGCACAATAGTTTCCCTAGAAAACTAACACCTAAGATTTAATTTATTTACCTGCTCAATATCGAAATCTAAAACGTCTTTAAAATACGTGGGCATGCCAGTGAATAGTGTATAATATCCCCAGCATGCTCCAAAGTGGCCGAACACAATGGCCCAAACTGGTGGTGACTTCAAAATATCTGACCAAGGAAGCCTTTCAAACTGGAAATTAAAAAAAATTAGCCGTTATCCGCTGGTAACAGCAATTGAAAGATGAAAGCTAGATTGGCAGATTAGACTTGAAATCTAGAGGATTCTGGAATTAATTTTCGTGATTTGAGTTCAAGGCGTTATCAAGTAAAACATAGGTCACAAAGCATATGACTTACAAGGTAAACCCTAGTTTTTTTTAATCAACGAGGCAGGCTAGACCGTCAGAGTCGCATCACATTTGCCTTTAAGTTGGAGATCAATTAACTTTAGGAGAAAAAGTCATTTATTTTAACACGTAAAACTTTTCCCGGTTCTATATGCTAGCAATACTCAAACAGTCACGAACTTAATTCAATTGATGGGAAAATATGTGAATTTCGTCGCCCTAACTATAGATGGCGAAAACAAACTTCCGTGATTGTCCGGGTCGCGAAATTACATCTTAAACGCCGCATGAAAAATTTGTTGAAAAGGAGCAATTTAAGCGGAAGCATGGAAGCATGCTAGCCAATCAACTACCACCAATCAAAATTTGTTGTCATCAACGACATCAATCTCCACCCCAATCTCCACCCCAATCTCCACCCCTAATAAATCTAGATTTTGTACTTCCTCTGGCTGACCCTCTCAAATGTCCCCTCACCTCAGCTTTATCATCAGATCCACTAATACTTGTCTCAATAAAATTTTTTTCTGCTTCTGTTATGGTGGGATGTGATGTTGGGGAATCATGAACGATCATCTCCCAGGCACAATACCAAACGATCCCTGATAATCCTACAACACACAAGAGCACGTGACATAAATGATTGCTAAATATTTACTGCCGAAAATTACAGTAGAACCTCGCTGGCTCGAACGGTCAAGTGAAAAGAAAGATGGTGTAAGTTAGCAGGGGGTTTGAATTATCCGGGCTGGTGTTTAATTTCCCGGCGTTATATCGATCTTGTTAATAAATGATAATGAATCATGTTTTTTACCATTCTTGCACAATGCAGAGTCATTTCCGTACATTTAGGTTCTTTGGTAGGAGCTTACGTTTTTTTACAAGAACTTTAAGATTAGGAAGTTAAGCTAAATGTTGACTGTTTTTCATAAATGTTATCACGTTTGTATCAATCACGATTACAGAACGGTAACTGTCAATCAGCTATATTCTGATGCTGTAACGTTAGTCAACCAACGTTTTCACTTAAGGTTTTAAGTTACCAGAGTAAATTTTAGCGAAGGGAAAGTAAAACTAGTTTGATTTAACGGGGAATTTGAATAAACGAGTTCGAGTAAGCTGATAGTACATGACGGCAAAAATGGGGTCAAATCCAAGAGAAGCCAGGTCTTGTTCCATTAAGCGGGATTCTGCCGCATTTAAAACAGTTTCCAATGTTGAAATAACTATTTACCTATACAGTAAAACACTGACGGCCATCCACCATCAAAACCATACTTGGATAATACTCCAGTGAGAGGTATGGCGACTATATTGCCAAACGGACAACCTGCAAACAGAGCATCGCTTTTACTTGAAGTCAATTGATAAAGCCATGTAAAGGGACCGTTCATAATTTATCGCCTTGGGGGGGGGGAGGGGGCTGAAGGATTTTGGTTGAATCACGATAAAATATTCAATAGATTCCTATAAAGTTCTATAAGATATTTATTACCCTCCACCCCCTCATTACCAGTTAATTTGAAGTCAGTCTTTATACTCTGTTAGCGGTGACTGACCCCCTTTCCTTTCCCCCTCAAACCACATTATCCCCAAAATCCTCCACCCCCACCCCCATCCCTCCCCCCCCCCCCACCCCCATCCCTCCATCCCTCAATTCCCACCCTCGGCTATAGACGATAAGTGATCCTTAAAACTCTACCCTTATTCGTCACAAACTCACAGAGAATGAACGCCTTAAACACCCAACAGATAAATGAGTTACCATTAAGACAGCGATGGTAAATGAAGAGTTTTTGCTAGGATTATTGCTACTACTTGTGAACATTAAGTTTGCCTCACGATCTCACTCATAAGAGATTTTGCATGCATGGTAAAGATGAAGAAAAAAAGCTTTGTAACCTGCTATGGAAATGGTTATCAAACTGCTTCTTTCCAAAGGAGGTGCCCATTTGCTCCAGATGGCATGGTTGCACGGAAAAGTAACTCCCTAAAAGAACCAACAATAACAAAAACAAGAAATCACACCCAAACGAATGAACTATTTCACCTCAATAACAATGCTTCGGTCCTGTTTCAAATCAAGAAGGTCCTAACTATCTCCGCTACAGTTGTACAAGACTATTCATAGTCTCAATGGCTGCAACTGTAATGATTATTTATATATTTTTTTCTAATAATATAACAATGTCAAATCATTCATTTTGAATTAAAACAGCCATTAGCTAGCGTAAATTGTTTTTATTTTTTTTCCCAAAAAATTATCAAACAGTGGAATACATTTCTTAGGGAAATATTTGAAGAGCAGGATTTGAGTATTTGCCAAGCAAATTAAGGAAGTAAGCAAGACTCTCGCTAGTTCTTGCATTCCTATATTTATTACAGCTTATTTCATATTTTATTTGGAGAGTATCCTCGACAGAGTTAACCTCCGACGTTTCCTTTTACGTATAATGCTGGATTTATTTGATTCGTTAATCGTGTGCCCTGACCTGCATCAAGTCGTCAAAGGTCATTCTGGCCCTAATTTTACCGGCTCAACCAGACCCCGTTAAAAGATGCTGTATTATGACTTACCAAAAACAAACCTTGAAAAATTCGAACACCGATTAAAGCCATCACGTGATATCTTGCAGCAATTGGAGTAATGATAGCCAGTAATGACGTCAGAAGTACTCCATAACCAAACACGCGAGTACCACCGATTTTAAGTGCTACCCAGGCTCCAGGGATCTGTAAAACCCAGTAACCGTAAAAGAATGAGCCTAGGACGAGACCTAAAAACGAACAGAAATAACTAAGTTGGTTCATTATTAAAATGTGCCTTAGCCGCGCAGTTGACATCGAATTCAGCTCATCGGCGGAATTTATGCACGAAATCGATGGATTTGTGGTTCGATGACTGAAATTCGGGGATTAGTTTGCACTTATTACCTGGGGGGGGGGGTTGCATTGTCTTAAGGGGAGACGGAGGGGCATAAGTTGTTTTCAACGTAGTACAAAGAAGGAACTATAGAAAATTGACTGCTTATTAACAGCCAATGAGGGGGGGAGGGGATCACGGGAATATTACAGAGCATTATAGGGTGATCAGGTAAATTTTATTTGTACGCAACAAAAATCCTCAATCCCCCCTCCCAAGTCTGCTTCGCGGCGATAAGTAATTGGTAGTCGTTACTTTCCCCAAGCTAGACTGCCATATGCAAGGTTTCACAGTATTTTCCCTTAAAAAATATTTCTATTCTTTGAAGGCCATCAATCTTACCTTGCAGTTTTGAACTCCAATCAAATTCAGCTTGCTTTAAAAAAAATAGAAGAATCTGGTTTAGTATTCGAACTGAAGGAAAAAAACACTTAAAAAGATAAATTTAATATTTTGGTCCTTCATCTAATTAAAAAAAAGTGTGACGTGTATCGAAAATAAATAAAAATCTTATGTTCAATATATCACAATCTAATCTTGTTCACTGTTATATTTAAGTCTTTGAAACTTCTTCTAAGAATATACACAAGGCGCATTCTTGGATGTCGTATAAGCGAAATCAAAGTTATCACAATGGTCAATCAGAACAAAGGTAAATGTCACAGGGAACCAATGGGAATTCAAAGCAAGCTAACTGCTTGAAGCGCGGGAAATCGCGGGTGAACGTGCAAGTCACAGTCACGCTTGTTTTTAGTTTGTCATCTGATTGGTCAAAGGGATGGCGCGTGTTTTCTAAACCAATCAAAGAGCGTAATAAAAGAAATTAAAGTAATTCCAGATTACTTTCGACAATCAACTGAAAATTACTCTGTCGACTATACCACGACTGGTTTAAGATTTGCCTCTTCTTCTTTTTTTTAATTTGCGTGAGTTTTCTAAACCGATCGTAGAACATGGGTAAGAAAAACCAATGTAATCCTGTAGTGCTTTCGATTAAAAAAATACTAAAAACGATGAAAAAAAGACAAAAAAATGAAAATAACACTACAAAACAACATCGACATTCACTACTTGACAATTTTTACCACAAATTCAGGTGAGCTCTTCATCTTATTTTCCACTTTTTTCAGCCTTTGTAGTGACTACGTTTTTGAAATTTTCTCTAAAGAACAAGATACTTATCCTACAACAGCCTGGGTGGCGGACGGTTTTGTGCTATTTTTACGCTTTTGTGTGCACTAAGTGATGAGCAGCGAAGCCTCAAGTAGAAGACTTTCCTCCGTTACAAGCCTCGCAGCTTGGCCGGTCGTAACTTGTTTTGCGCATACAAAACCGTCAGCTGCACGCAACGATCCAAATAACTGGATCAAACACATAGTGGCGAAGTTTCATGTACCTTAACTATTGAGACTCCTCCCTTTATGATTGTCTGATTGTTCACCATCGCCACAAGGGCCACATTAAGGTTCACTCGCATGGCGTAGATATTTACAAATCCAATGAAGATCATCAGTAGCAGTACGTATCTCTTCGGGAAGCCGCTGATAGTTCGGGGCTTTTGTTGCGAAGTTCGTTTGTCGCTCGGTGATGACGAAATTTGCTGGTCGTCTGGAGTCGCAGGAGTTTTTTCTATGTCACTGTTCTGTTGATCCATCCTTTTAATTTTTAGGGAGTAGAAAGCTTAACTTTAAAAGCAGTTATGGGCTATTTGGCTGAGAAATTTGCCAAAGACTGTGCGATGATTTTCAATGATGAGTCCGATCCTGAGACAAAATGGAAAAAATATATAAACGGAGACAAAATGGAAAAGTTTTTAAAAGAAGTTTTAAAGGTGCTAAGCTGACACTGTTGGGTGGGTTGGTGGTGGGGGATTATACTTTTAAACTACGGAGAAGGGTGGACGCTTAAAAAGTCAGCTTAGAAACTTTTTACGGTGCCCAATTTACATTATCAGTTCAGTTGATGAAACCAAATTATCTTGGAAAAAATAGAAAAAATTGACTGGTCACTGTAATAAAACAACTAATCTAACATAGAAAGAGAGGATGGGTTATATACTATTACCAGTGTGCCGCTTAGTATTCGACAAAATACTGTGTTAACTAGTAATGAAAGAAGTGCATTTATTTTGATAACTAGCGGTTGGTTTCTATAGCAGAATATTCTTACATAGGCGGGTAACGTAGTGTTTGAGTCGAAATGAATGGATCTGGTGCAGCTGTAATGGTGCGGCATAGAGGTCAAATTCACCGATCCAATCGTCGGCAAGTTATTCCTTGTCAAGCCATGACAGTGGCAAAATAAGAAGGCTTATTTTAAGAAGTATAGTTGTGCTTGACAATTTGTTGATTTATCACTGAAAATTTACTTTTTGAAGACTAGCTTATAGTGAAGTCAGTCAGATCAATTGATCGCACCACCGGTGAAATGGGAAACAGTCACAAACCAGAACTCGCGGGATACAATGGATATGCGTTATATGTATCAACAGCTGAGACCAAATTGAGTTTATAATTGATTTAAATCTGTAATTATATGAGTGAATTGGTTAGTCTGTGTCGTAATGGTATTAATCAGGATGAAACCGCGAAAATGCCGTCGAAAGTTTTGCTTCGGTTTGTGAGTTAATTTTTTAAGCAGATTTGATAAAAATCGACTTAATTTTGGTTCTTTTACGATGGAAAATTCACTATACAACAGTTTGCCAAACGATTAACAGAATTTTCTCCGAAAGCTTTTCATAAAATGAAAAAAGCACTCACCGCAAAATATTTAGCCGTAGATTAAGGTAGTTGTAGGTCTCAAGTTGACCCTGACGCAACAGGTAACAGATACGTTTGTTCCACACAGAGAACTCAGAAGAGAGTATGCTCTGGGTATTTAGCCAGAATACGATCAGTGTTTTGAGAACAGCTCATTTAGTAGGCAGAACAGATATAATGTTTTAACTTCCCCCTCCTCAGGAATGCACGCACTGTAGGTTGAAATATATATCTATCTCACCTAGCGGCAGGTGGTTGACAGGTTGCATTATACTCTACCATATCCTTTCCATACCTGATCGCAGCTGGCTCGTTTAGCAGAAAAAATTTTTTTTTTTCCTTTTCACTTAACAATTTTCCAGTACGATTCGTAGCTCAGTTAGCGAGATGATTTAGACACGTAACTCTCAGAAATCTCCCGCCGAAGCCAGCGTTTTTAGTTAGAAAACTTACTGTAAAATTTAAAGGACGTCTGAGAGCCCTCCAATCTTTGGGTAAGCACGGAAGCGAGGCTTTTCTGGGTAACTGTGCAAATTCAGTCAGTTGCCGAAGCTGATATTGCGAAACCAATGTCAGCATGTCTTTGCTAAAATAGGGCTGATTTATGGCACTTGATGTTTAAAAGGGAGCTTGGTTGCTAAGATAGAACGAAAATACGACAGGGCCTTCTAAGTTTCATCCCGGTTACCAAGCCAAGAGTGTTTGACGGGAAAATTAACCAAGTGGGCATCTTTACCAACCTCGCAACCTCGTAACATGAAACAAAATTGTTTATGAGCAGTGTAAGTTGTGCTATAGAGAGGCTATTTACATGGGTTTCTATGGAAACTTATCAGTCTATTTTCCATCTAAGGTATGACATGCAATTTTTTTTTTTCGATGTAAAATCTGCTTTCTCTGTCGCCTTGTTACATTTTCTTTTCTGGCTGCACGCCTCCTTGGCCGTTTAGATGCGATCTCAAACAGTCAGCGGCGTTAACTGTTCTGATGCTACATTGCATGAAAGAGGCGACGGAATTAACCAAGTACGTGCTAATTTTAAGTTATCTGAACTGCTTTTAACACCGTTCTAAGCAAGGATTCGCGTTTCGCACGATGGGCTTGGGTATCCTGTGGGTCAGCGGGAGAAATTTCTCCAGTTATCGATGAGGATCTAGATTAATCAAGATTAAGATATCAGTTTAGTTCTTTCCATATGAAACATTTTTGGCTCAGTTATCGAGATCTGATAGAAAAGGCAGAAACCATCGGAATGATTTCCGTATAACCCTTTACAACATCTCATGGATTTCGTAATTCAATATTCACACTCGGTTGTCGCTGGACGCAGCTTTTCATGGCGTCAATGAAAAGAACAGACAAGTTGAATCATTTGGTGGCGAACTGGTTTTACGTTAGAGGGCGAAGTCCGACCAACTCGCAAAATGATAGGGGGCGAACTTGCAATAGGGCGAATTCACCACATATCCATGTGAACAGGAGCCGGGTTAAAATCGGAGCCAGCCGATCAAGCTGAAATTTTCTCCATGAAAAGAAGACGAAAAGTTACTATCCACGTCGTAATAAGACGATCAACTGTCAATTTAATAAAAAGGGGGGAAATTTTTAAAGAAAATGTGATGCTGCGTCGGTGGGAGAGTATAGCAGGTAATTCAGTGATAACAACTGAGTTGAAAACGTAAATTGGCCACCGTAAAGAGTAAAAGGCTGACGTTTCAAGCGTTAGCCCTTCGTCAGAGCTAAACTGTCAATTTAGTCCACTCGCCCCAGTTTTCCGCAGAAACCAATTGAGTAAAAATGAGATGAAGTTGAATTTGTACTTTGTGAGTTCATCCACTGCGTATTGTTTTCTTTTTCATCATGACGAAATCTTTGATAGACTTGTGCATGTTCTGTATAGCTAACAACCTCGAAAATATCAAGCGAGCAGGATCATCACTGTGTAAAAACGACAAAGAACTTCTTCTAGAATTGCTTTGCGACCATGATATGTTTACAGCGAAAAGGATTCCATTTGTAACTAAACAGCTTCTTTCACCGACGTTGACCAACATTGCTTTTGGTTATTCTGGTCAAGTGGACGATGCATTGCTCCAAAAGTTAGCTCTCTCCCGTTGCAAACTGAGGTCATTTGTTCTCAAGAATTGCCCGCAGGTATCAGGTGAGAAAACATTCGTTGAATTCGAGGGTGCATGGAAGCCAACTGTAAATAGAATATGTTTGCATGGCGTGTCAAAGTATTTTTGGGCTTCTTTTTCTTTCACTGTCGATTTTTAACAAAATACGTGAAGAGTTTTAAATAAAAGGTTTGACTCAGTCCTGATTTGTCATGATCGTCCCGTAGTTAAGGGTCCCTGATCTTGTTGGGTTCTTCGAATGACACTTCGAAACCTAGCAAAAGATAAATTTTTAATTTTAATCGATATTTTAAACGAAATCAGTTCGAAAGGGTAAATTAAGAATTTGCATGTAGTATCTCTCGAGATTTGTCGAAGCTCTTGTAAGGGACTACGGAGACGATTTTGATCACAGTCGAGGTCGTCGAAATTTTTTTAAAACGAAGGTCACAAGGTAAGCGCTGCATCTGGTTGCAACATACACGTACTCTGGAACTGTGTGATAGCGACGTTATTCGAAGTCTCGAAAGATGAACAAAATTACAATTTAGCTTGTGAACATTGTTCGGTAGTTAAAAAGCTGTTGGGTGAAGAAGAATTTTGTTATTGCCTCGTCGTTTTGAAAAGGAAAGTGATTTCCTTCAAGGTGAATGAGCGCATGTATTAGTAGACATAAATTAATTGTTAAAGGAGTCTCACCACTGAGGATCATCATTAAACCATGATCGCTTTCACTGTGGTACCACAAAGTTAAGGTGCTGACAGAACTTTGAACTTGTATTAGTTCCTTTAAAGGCTTGCAAAACATTAGGCATTAATGGTTCCACAACAGGTCTGGGGCAAGTCACATTGCCAATTTGCATCGCAACTAGCTTGGATTAGTTTTCTGCCAATCTTTTCCCTATAATTAAAATTTTGTTGTTACAGAGCACACACATGCAGAGTCATTTGTTGCACAGACCTGCTGCAGTGACCTGAAGCTAATAGTCTGCTCTGGCCTTTATCTAGTTGATCCTTAAGCCAGATCTGAATTATTTAGAGGAACACACCATAGTTCATACCCTTAACTAGTGAGGTGCTGTCTCAAGAACTCATTTCCTATGCTTTTTTTTCCCTTCTTTTTCTCAATAAAATTGAATACACTGCCTTTTTATCTTGTCTGGAAAGGTTTAAAAGGCAGATGTCACTCAATACAGGGGGTGGAACAGGAGGGTGGATAGGGAGATGGGAATCAGCTAATTTTTTATCACAATCTGTGTGTGTCTCACCTTACTTTCATCCACCTGGATCTGGGTTGAAACTTTTCCATGGGATATATTGATTGCAAACAAGTATATATATATATATATTAATATAAGATAAGATATAGCTCTTTGGCATACAAAGCTTTGCTTTCATGTCCAAATTGAGCACTCTACTAGGATGAGTCATTGCTGCTAGCATTGTACATGCTCACTTGTTTTTCTAGTTTGAGCACTCTGGTATGGCTTAGATGATCCCACATGTGTGAGATCACTTGGGGTGGTTACATTGCCTTACCTCCATTTTAGTATTAGCACTGCATTGATGTGGCCCAGAGGGCCGAAACAGTACTGTATGCAGTTAGTTATATATTAATACATGTATGTAATTTTTGTTTCCTTTGTATAGTCCATACTGATTTCACCTAAAGTTTTGTTATTGAATAGTTTTTAGAAGTGTTAAGTAAAGAGCAAATTCTAATTGAATTGCTAAGCTGACATGGTCTGGAAAGGTTTTCTAGCTTTCTGTAAATGATGACAACTTTAAAAATAAAGTTGACAGAACACTTACTTACTGACTGAATCAGGCAGCAGATTAAAAATGCAACCTGCTGTCTGAAGTTCTAGACAGATGGAATCTGGCATTCAAGCTGAAATTTTTAGGAATTCATAAAGCTGTTGATCTTAGGTGTTGTTTGTAAAATTGGTAGTCAGAGTTTTTTTGGCCTAATTCAAACCAATGTACAAACCTGGTATCCAAGCTGAAAGTTTTAGGAATTCATAAAGCTGTTGATCTTAGGTGTTGTTTGTAAAATTGGCAGTCTGAGTTTTTTTTGGCCTAATTCATTATGATCTGCAAATCTACCTGCCTTCTATAAATGGACAACAAATAGGTTCCATGACCTTACGTTAGATGTTAAACTGTTGTTGTTGTTGTTTTTTTTTTCAGATAAGGGATTATCTTCCCTCCTCAAGACACAAACAGATTTGGAATTTCTGCATCTTAAACTGAGTTCTTTTCAAGTCCATCTCACTGAAAAGTGTTTATTAACACTACGGTCTTCAAAATTAGTATCAGTTAAATTAGATCACATTGATCAGCTGAGCAACAATGGAGTTATAACCTTGGCAAAGAATTGTCCAAATATTTGTGAATTGATGCTGCCAGGGTGCAAAGAACTTAATGATAGTTGTATTGAAACTGTTACACGTACACTTTTGAAAGGAAAACTGGTAAGTTATGTGACTGTTGGTTGTACTTGTATATTTTAATACAAGTACGATTACCAAAGAAGGTCAGATGATTGAGATGAGCTCAAACCATCTGTTAATTGTATATTTAGACAGTTAACCCAGGCCTTTAACTCCCAGATCAAATTCATAATTCTCCTTACTGTCAACCATACAATTCTTATAGTGTTAGTTCAGAGAATTTAATATTGGATCAACTAATCATCCCCAAATTGATATTTTTCTTTCTTCTCATTACATATCTGGCTGATATTGTATTGATATTGTAAGGAGAAATTCTGTCTTGGTCACTCATGAGAGTTAAAGGCTTAAAAGAGACTGTTAATTTATCTGACTGTATTGTTTGCTGCATATAGTCTTAGAATTGCAAATATATGAGTGATATATATGCATTTTCATTAAAAGAATAAAACAGCTAACCTGGAAAGTTATGCAACAACAGTTCTTGCATGCTCTTGAGGCTTACTGTGTATTTACACAGGCATGATGTATGCACTGTCCCATAACAAACATGATGTACACACTGTCCAATGATGAGCACAACTTGCACACTGTCCAATGACAAGCCTGATGCGTACACTGTCCTATTAGCACTCAAATTGGGCTGGTGATAACCAATCCTGTTCAAGAATTTTGTTATTAGTTTTTACTAGGTGCTAAACTTCAACTTCTTGTACGTGCATGAAGTAGCTGCTAAGAGTTTCTCTTTGCTGATGAGTTTTATCCTTACTAGGAAGTGTTGGAGCTGTCCGAAATACACTTATTGACAGATCTTAGCCTGCTTGCCATTGGTTCGGGTGATTGTCCCAAGCTCAGAGAGTAAGATATTATGCACTGCTTGCTTATTAACCCTCTGAGTTTGATTACCATCTAATTTCTCCTCACAATATCACCCCTGAATCAAACAGTATGATTATGAGAATAATGAAAATGATCACCAGCTAAAGAAACTCCTGATTTTTATACATGTTCTCCTTGTTAGCACATTGGGAAATATATAAAGAATAGTATCAAGAATATGCATACTGATGTTAGGGTGTAAAGGGTTAATACCTACTGACAGTAACATCTTATTCTGGTCCTCATAAGGAAAAAAAATAGGGTTTAAGCGAGCAATTAATAAAGAGGAGCAAGAACAAAATGTGACCGTAATGACAATTGGTTCTCAAACATTGATCAGCAATTAGACTCTGTTAACTTTTCAACTCCTAAGATTTGATTGTTAATTCTCCCCACTACCTGCCACTAACACATTTCCTTGTAACTTAGTTATGAGAATTGTGTGTTAGATGAAGATAACAACTGCTACCTGATAAGTTTTAGTATTCTCTTTACCTGTTTGCTGACTAATGTTTGGATGTTTTAGGGAGAAGTTACTCGTTAATCACTACAAGTCCTGTGATTTACTGCCTTTTTAACATTTTGGGAGTCTTTCTGCATAGTTAAATCTTTGACAACACAGGCATCATTCTCTACATTATATTTATGCATGGTTGTATTCCTGTGCAATGACTGTCGTTTCCATTTTTGTTATCAAACAGACTGCTTCTTGTTGGTTGCAATATGATTTCAGGAGCAGGGCTATTACAGGTACAATAAGAAATTTTATCAAACAGTGCTAAGTGTAGTGCAAATTATACACACATTTAATGCATCAAATATGGTTGTTTGGACAATTGGTTATTTTGAATGTTAAAAAACCTGTTGAACAGGTCCCCTGTGCTTGCACTGAAATTGTATCAAAGGATAGAGAAAAATGGACTGTACCACTGATCTTAGTTCACAGCTTTCTGCTCCTAAGCTTGTCACCATGTGATTCAGTTAGATCATGAAAAGGAACAAATCAATATCTTTGAAGTTCTGTGAAGTCATACCTTTGTTATATAATTCAAGCTCATCCATGCCTTATTTTATTTCTATTTAATATCAATTAATTAAGATAGTGAGTAGTGTAGCCAACAAGACTGTAGCATTTCAAATAAAATGCCAGTTAGATCTATTCTAATCAGTAACTCATATAATTATTCTAAAACAGTGGATAGCCTTGAAGGTGTGCTCTGATTGGCTACTCAAACTCCCAATATCCTTTGCTATTAATCTCCAAGTAACTTGCACATAAATTGCGCTCAGAAGTTTTTCAAATCATTCTTTGCAAGAATAAATGAGTCAAAATCACCTTTTTGTGCTATGTTATCTCCTAGTTTTAGTACAGAGCAAAACAACTTTTTCATTCCAGTGTTGGACTGGCTAGTGGTGGATATTTATCTTGTTTCTTCACTGCTTGGTAAATGTCTACTACTAGCCAGTCCTTCACTTTGGTGAAGATTTATTAATTATAATAATTGTAAATGATAATGTTATTTATGACTTTCAGCCCAACATAGATGCATGTATGTTGTAAGTTGTTTAGAATTCTCTCTGGATTTGGACATTTTTTTAACCAAATTAATTATTAAAATAATCAGTTTTTATTTTGATCTTAGCCTTAAATTGTTCTTTTAAATTTTATTTTTAATTTGGATGTCTTGATTAAGATTCCTCTGTTATCATTTACTGCAGGTTACTCAAGGCTGTCCTAACTTGACAAGCCTGGACATTGGATACTGCTACAGAATTTTGAATGATGGCAGAACATTGGTGACAGCAAATGCATTCCCGTCCAATCTACTGGAACTGACTTTACATGGAGTGCAAATGTCATCAGAATTACTCATTGACCTTGTGGAAAAATTGGATTATATAAGAGAATTGACTTTGTGTGGAATGAAGGCAGTAGATGATGATTCTTTAGAAAAAGTAAGTATGGAATTATTGAAAAGAAAAAAACCCTGTTGGTGTTTCTCAACAATTCTGAGGGGTACATTAATTTTTTTTAAGGCCTGTTACAAAATTTTATTTTAATTAGCATCCCAGACAGTGCCCCACAGAAAAATGCTAATCCTTGGTAATGTGTATGCTGTAGTTTGAATTATTTTTCCAGATTTGATACATTTAGTACATGTATCATCCTTTGATCAAGAGCCATCATAGTCTGTGGTAATGTACATAAAATCAGATGAACCAGCAAGGGCATGAAAGTGATCTGAAAGGCACAGCAATTTGTGTCAGACCATTAAAATTTTGAAGTTAAGTCAAGTCATCTTTTTTTAAGCACGGTGACCCTTTCAACACTTAAGGCTGGTATCAACAGGGGCTCTGCAGGTTATGTTGGAGAACTGGGAATGACTCTACATAAAAGATCTCCTCTTGTCTGCTTTGAGTGACAATTTGACCTTTTTTCCTATTGATTTTGCAGATTTGTTCAGCTGCAGGGCGAACCTTGAGATCATTAGACTTGAGTGGTTGTGCAGTTTTAACAGATGCTGGACTTTCAGCCATCAGCAAACAGTGTCAAGCCATTGAATCTCTTAAAGTGTCTTTCTGCCCAAATATCACTGGCAAGAGCTTGAAATCTCTTTTCCGCTGCCCCAAAAGAGGGCAAGAGTTCAAAGCATTTGTGGCAAATGGATGTAAAATGGTGAGTTTGAAGTGAAGTATTATGATTTAGATTTCTACCGACAAGTTCAATCTTATCAACGTGTTGATAGTGCATAGGTAGTGTGTTAGTGGTGTGTTGGTAGTGTAATGGCTGACGCGTTGGTGGGATTGGATTCTTTACCTTTACCTTATAGTGCTGGAGCTGGTAAAGAATAAAGATGAGTGAGCCCATTTGGAAGAATGGTGGAATATCCTAAAACATGGAATCACAGAATATCCCAAAATGCAAAAATTTGTAAAAGAAATTACACTAAAACGCTGAATACTTGAATATCTGATTGAAAAACACTGAATGGTGCAATACTTTTCTAGGATTTTTAAATAAAGCTCACATTAGGAGTGTACCATCACCTAGAATATACTATTATCAGGAAAAGCATCTTACATTATTTTATTCATTATATTATAATTATGCTCATGGGTTAAAGAAGAAGGAACATTTAACAAAATTATCAGGTTTGCATGATTATCAGAAAATTTTTGGGAATGTGAGGTAATGTATTTAATATGTTTTCTGTCAGTGGCACTGTTCATGGATGCTAGTTGCCAATTGAAATTAAAATTTTTATGAACCATTTATAACTGCAGCAGCAATATGTATCGTGTAAAATTGAGATAACTCTCCCTTGATATATTTTGACTGATTTCTCTTGTAGTTCTCTGTAGATGTTATAACTGAAATAGCAGCAAGTTGTCCTTCGCTGCTTGTTCTGCGGCTTGCGGGCATGAAAGATGTGGATGATCAGCTCCTGACTGCAGTTGCTGAAAATTGTCACCAAATTACCCGTGTCAGCATTAAAGGCTGCGGCTTGGTATGTAGCCTTGATTTAACAATTGTCTCAAAATTATGCTTTTTTGTATGCAATAACTCTTCTATGGAAATTCACTCTACCTCCCTTTTTCATGTTCCCTTAGCTCTTTACACCTTAAAATTAGTATAGATATTCTCCATACCCTTCTCTGAGAACTTTAAAGAAACATATGTTCTCAGTAACAAGTTGTCTAACTGTCTGAGTTATGGTCTGAGTTGGTTAAAAGAATTTGTCTGTGACTGGGCTTGGAAAACAACAAGTTTATTTAAACAGCCCCCCCTCCTTCTCTGGTCAAAGCACTTTGAATTTTGGTGAGTGAATTGCAGAATAAAAATTCTATGATTTGTACAAAAATGATTTTCAACCAAATTCTCCATGACATCAGAGTTGAATTTAAAGTTGAATTGCCACAGACTGCAACCTTTTCCCAGAAAAGTGTCACTGCCACTGGTCTTGTCATGTAGTCTTCCTCTGCCATAACCTTAACAATAGCTACCCAGTTCACAGTTAAGAATTCCTCTGACTGTTAAATAAATGTATGGTAATTTATTGAACAGGTCTCTGATGTTGGTGTATGTGAGTTAGCACGTATGTGCCCATTAGAAGAGGTTGTTGTGTCTGGTGTCTCAGGATTAACAGATCGGTCTGTTTTTGCCCTGGCAAACTGCTGCTGCTCAACTCTGAAAGAAGTCTATGCTTCAGGGTGTTCCATGATCACTCAGGCAGCAATTAATTATCTGAAGGTACTTGAACATGGTATCTTTTTTTTTTTCTTTTTGATGTAGTCACATGTGTTGGACAGTCAATATTCAGGTTCCAGAAGGAGGGAGAAATGAATGATCATTTTGTACCTTACTAACATTAACATGCACAATCAAAGCCCAAAATCAAATTCACCAGACTGATAATTCCTGAGTAATATTATATACTACATGCTGATATACCTTCACATTAATCTTGTCTAAGTTGTACAATTTTTTTTTTCTTTTTTTCCTTTCTTTTACTTTTATAATTTCTTTTTTTCTTTTCTTTTTTTTTTTTTTCAAATCTCAACAGAGCCACCACCAAACTTTCACCATAGGTTAAATAGCAAGATGCCCTCCCCTCCCTTCCTTGGTAGCTTGTTGTCATAGTTACAAAGCAGTTATGGTTAGACTGTCAACAAATCCCTTTTCATTAATGTAGTGTTCATTTATCTTTCCACTTTTTTCCTGTTTAATATTGGGAAAAAAAAAGAAGTATATTTTCCTAACCAAGATATAATTTTTTTATCCCAACCAATAGGACTGTTGTTTGAAGAGAATATTTGTTGAACATCGTGTACCAAATGTTGATCCCGACCAGGTTATGGCCAAGAATCTTGATACTGGAGAATTCTGTCGAGCCGACCTTTTATTCACAGGTCCTGTTGTGCAAGACCCAGATCTATCCTCCACAATAGCTACAACAACAACAACAACAACAAACTAAAAACACTAAGAGAGTGGTTATAGTCTTTTGAAGAATGAGCATGTAAGATTACAGCCTAAGTATAAATACTTTTTAAAATGAATGAACAAACAAACAAATAAATGTACATTAGTACCATTTGCACCATTCAATTGATGAAATCTGAAAAACAGCAAAAAGTGCTGCAAGATAATGATGCAACATTTTGTGGAATGAGAAATGAAGGAAAGATTTCTTCTCCAGACAAATGTAAAGACTTAAAACCATGGATTGATAAGATTGGAATGTAGATTGAATGTTAAATGTTTGCTCAACTAGGTAGATGGTTTTTTGTATTAGTTCTAGTACTACTCATCAACCAGTTTGCCTCGGGTTAATAAACATACACTCACATCAGTGTCATCATCTCAGAAAGTCTCAAGTATTTGATTATGTTCATTTGACAGCCACTCAACCTTAATTTCAATGAACCACATGAAATTGCCTTCAGTGGTGCTAAAAATATGACTGTGGATGGGCCAGCACACAAACAACGCCCCAGAATGGCTCTTAATAACCCTTTACACCCTATCATCAGTATCCATATTCTCCATACTGTTCTCTATACATTTCCTAAGGTTCTGACATGAAGAATTTGTTTAAAAATCAAGAGCTTTTTTAGTAGGTGATCATTTTTTTTTATTCTTGTAACTTTAATGTGTGATTCAAGGGTGATACAGCATGGAGGAATTAGATGCTTATCACCCATAGGGTGTAAAAGGGCTAAACAGCTGTAGGTCTGGTTATAGTGAGTGAGAGATTTTGTGGTGTAACAGTTAGTTGAGCTGGATTTTGGGCGGAGAATGAGGGGTTCATGACTTGGCAAAGTCACCATGTAGTTGGTCAACAAGCAGTCCCTCCTTTGTGGCAAAGTCTGTAGTGCAAGTAAAAAAAAAATCAGTGAAAAAGAAATTGATGATTGTGCACAGCTAAGATTGAGCTCTGGGAGTCCTGTTCTGCACCTCACTTCCAGAGCTCCCTGTAGCACATTGACATCAGTTTTATTTTTCTCTGATTTTTTTGGTTTACTTGCTTAACAGACTTCTCCAAATAAAAGAGCCTTCTCACAATCTATGGTGTTGTGTTCTTGGGCTAGTCCTTCTTGTGAACTTAAATGAACTATCCAAAAAGCCCGACAGGGATTCCATCCAGGATTAGTGGCAATATTCCTTGTGGCTTCATGGTAAGGGCAGCTGTGCCAATTTGTAGGCCATTCCACCTGTGTCCAGACTTTACCTCTACATGTACCACTGGTAATTGTGTTCAATTTGATGCATGTAATCGTTCAAACACAAGGTTCAAACCCATTTTCAGAAACAAATTTTCTAGTACTTTTCCAGGACTCAGAGTGATTTTTCCAGGAATTTCACCTGAAACTCTCTCATTCCCAAAATCAATTCTTACAGTCTACATACATTTCTCATAATGTAAATTCTGGGTTAAGCAGATCTCTAGGACTTTTCAGGACCTGTAATCTTTTTCCAGGACTGTCCATTCCTGGAAATATGAAAATGAAATTCCAGGACTTTCCAGATTTTCCATGACCTGTATGAACCCTGAAACACTGTTTACAAACAAGAAAAAAAAAGCAGAGGGTTTAATGTATTTTTATGCTATTGAAAGGAAAACACCCTCTAGCTGATAAGTTTTTTATTTCAACTCCAGTTCACTAATAAAGAATTGATGTAGTTGAACTATTAAGTGAGGTTTTGTGTTAGTTACAACTGAATGGTGAGAGTCTTTCCTATGGTTCTAATCTTAAGAGTTTAGCCAACAGAAGTACAGCCTGAATAGCTGGTGGAAATTCCTAGGTAAAGATGTTCCTCTCAATTTTCTGTTTGGTTCCATCGCTCCATTGACCGTCCAAAGTATTCTGTGAATAAAATGAGTGCTTATGCTTGAAATTAGGATGGGGGAGACGGAAGTTAGCCAAAAAGCGAAGTTAGCTATCAATGTTTGTGAACAACAGACAGTTACTTAGTGTTTCCATAAAATTTCTCTAACAATTTGTTGACCAAATGAAGATACCTTTCCCTAGTGCACAAGATGCATGAGATTTCATACATTTTTTAACTGAAGATTGGAAGGCTAAAGTTTTTAGTTAGTTTCACTTGATGGCTCAGGAGGCATTACTCAGTCAGGTGCGTTGCTCCTGTAAAATTTGTTTTACACTCCTCTTTATTGTGTACGTGTACAAGGTATTGTACTGCTTTCAGTTTGTTCTTTCAATAACCATCCACTTCTTGTTTTTCAAGGTTTGAAGGTAGTCCTTTTGGGTAATAAGCTGCAGGGCCAGGGGCATTTTCCTCAGAGTCTATACAACCAGGAGGAGTGGTTGAATAAATCCTCTCCCCTGATGGTGTTATGGCGAAGTTGTAGTTTGTTTCATTTTCCAGGCAATAAGCTATCTTCTCCTCTAGGTTTTCTTCAGTCACCCAGTTTTTGCTTTCTTCCTGCACAAAAATGAAATAAAATGCATGAAAATCAACTTGATTGTCACCTTCAAAGGGGCAAGTGTAATGTGCATGTCTTAACCCTTTACCTCCAATGATCTGATTGTCAATTCTCCCCTCTAGCTGCTACAAATTTCCTTGTAAATTAGTTACAAGAATTTGGTGTTACTGATTAAGATAACAACCTTTAACTGATAAGTTTGAGTACTCTCATTACCTGTTTACTGGATACTGTATGGGTATTGTAGAGAGAGGTTACATGTTAATCATTTCTTGGAGTTAAAGGGTTAATCTTGTGGTATTGGGTGCAAGTCCTGTTGTGCTTCCCGCATACTTATGTAGTACCCATGATATTTAGCCCCAAAATATACCTCAAAAGAGAACTTCAGATCAACCACACTGCTTGTATGTGCAGCAAGAGGATTTTTTCTTTCAGTGTTTCTTTTTTTAATACTACTAACAGTTACCACTGTATGAATGCAAATCACCCACTTGAAAGACATGAACTTAAGAAAAAATTATACAATGAACATATTAACAGTGGAATGAAAGTATGATCTTCATACTAAAGATTTGTAAAGTTAAACAAAGTTAACTCTTTCACACCCAATATCTCATTTAATACTTCCCCTTACCATCTGCTAAACAATTCTTCTGATGTTGGCTTGGAGAATTTGGTAAATTGGATCAACTGATAATTCCCTAATTTATATTTTTCTTTACATTTGCATTGTAAGCAGAAATTCTGTTTCAGTCACTGTTTTTGGAAAGTTAAAGGGTCGTGTTGAACTTGAATTTCTTATTCATGCCTCAGTCGGCAGTTGCATACATTTGATGTCAAATTATTCACATCAGTCCCTAACTTTCCCTTGTAACAAAACTAACAGTACTTACAGTCAGCTTTTTCACCAATTCAACTCTTTCCTGCCTCTGTTTAGCCTCCCATTCCCTCCTTAAAAGCTCCTTTTCTTTCTCGTGTTCTTCATCCTCTAGCTTTTTATTTTCAAGTCTTTTCTCTCTGGAATAAAAAAGAAAGAAAACAGTCTCATAGTCCAACATTACAAGTAACAGCCCCTTTAGAAGCAGTTGATTTTTCTTTGGTCGCAACTGTTCTGAAACTAAAGCTTTAGAGTCAGTTGATTCTTCTTTTTCTTTCTTCGATCAGTGACAACTGTATTTGGTAAAACCTCCCATTGCTTTTAGCCCTTCAATTTCCAAGATCTGATTGTTAATTCTCCCATGCAGCTGCACTACATTTCCTTAAAAATTGCTTTCCAGATGTTGGTGTGAGATCAAGATGACAACCTGTACCTAATAAGTTAAAGTATTCTCATACCTGTTTGCTGGATAATGTTGGATATAATCAAGAGAAGTTGCATTTCAATGACTTTATGTGGTAAAGGGTTAAAGCTCTACAGTAGACTAACACCTACAGTATAACTGCCAGCAGAGACCAAGCAATTCAACTGTGGCAACTTACACCTTTCATTTGTCGTGAATGAATTAAAACAAAGAGCTTGCAGTGATTGGAATGTAGGATTTGCCATGAACTAACTGTTGCCTAAGTCACAATATTAGGAAAGAGATAATTACCTAGATTTATATTCTTTACCCTTGTTGTGCAAACTTCAAGAATTGTGTCTCCTAAATTTTTTATCACATCTCCTAATCTTGTCAGTTTTTACATAAAGTTTCAAGTCTTTCATTTACTTTAGGTCCTTGATGTCTGACACACACATATTTTCCTGAAAGGTTTCATTTAGTCAGGCTCTAAACTGTGAAAATTGGAGAAGAGACCTCTAAAGCTGTACATATTAGAATCTTTCTCTAAAACCTTTTTTCCTCAGGAGCGACCAGGAAAAAATTTCTTCTTCCCAAATTAATACAATATCAAGCAGACATGTGATGATAATAACAAAAATATCAACTAAGGGATCGTCGTTGGATCCAACACCAAACTCTCCAAACTAAAATTACAAGAAATGTACAGCAGACTTCAGGGAGAATTATGATAATTGTAGAGATCATAAGAGTGAAATAAATAAAACTTTAAAACAATCAGGCTCTGAAGTTTAAACATAGTAGAAGCAATTTCAAATGTTGTATACGATGATGCATTAAATTGGGTTGACCATCTGACATGAGCTTTTCTGTATGTGTCACAAAATTCAAATTAATTAATTTGGGGGTAAAGATTCACTTAGGATTATTTTCCATACAAATTTTATTTTCAATTGAGACAAAACTCCTTCCACAATACCACCATGGATTTGTCATTCGTCACTTTCATGGTAATGTAACAAAAAATTTTACAATCTTGAGGAATCAGCAGTGACATATGAAAGAGAATAATCGAGCATAGAATATTTCTGTACAAAAGTCAACTTTGTTTACGGCAAGAGTCTCCTTAAGGCGTATCCCTTTTGTGTCCAAAAGGTATATGGTGAAACAAGGAAGTGATTTGTACGAAACATTAAGATATGGACAAATATTTAAGGATCAGTAGCATATTACTGACCAAAATTAATTGAAGGCAAGAATTTTGGTCAATTTTTCTCACAGCCTTCAACCTTTTCAAGAATAGCGGCAGCCAGATGAGCAACTGCAGTACAATTCCAGTGTTACAATATACCTCGTACATTTGTACGACACTTGCCTTTGATTTTCCAAGTTTTCTAGATCAGAGTCTGGTTGATAAAGTTAATTTATCTAATATTGTTAATTATATCTTGCGTCATGAACACCTTTTCAGTTTTAGCAAGACTGTAGAGTTTGACAAAAAATAATATCTACCTTAGTTGTTTTACTCGCTCGTTCTCAAGATGGACACTTTCAATAATCCGGTCGTGCATTTCCTTCTCCAGCTTTTGCAGTTCTTTCTTCTTAAGCATTTCTTGATTTAGATTCATTTCTTCCTCTTGTCGTTTCATGAGGAATTCCGCAGCGATTTTGTCCACTTTCATGTGATATATAGCATGTAGTTTTTTACCCTCGTCTCTCCTTTTTCTCTTTTCCTCGTCCTCTTGCATTTTTGGCGCCGTTTCTACTGACGTATTATCATTTTTAATTTCTACCGTTGTAGTAGAACAGTTTCTACACACACCAAAGATGAAGTTTGGAGTTACAAAGCGACAATGTACACTTCTTTGTAGTAAATTCGAGGCCCTTCGCGCAGTTAAACTAGTCGCCATTTTGCAATCAGCTCGGTAAGGCTTGGTTGCTAAGGTATCGACCCAGGCGTGCACGGTCAGACCGTCCCGCAATAATGGAGATTTTAACCCAGTTCTATTTTTCGGCGATGAGCGCAGCTTCTCTTTACATAGTTTTTTATCTAACATTTGTCGTAAGAAAACCAAAGATCATTGCTAAGCCAGGATCGTTCATCTACCGCTTAATCAAGCAACGTTGCCCATTTGCCACCGAGCTATATTGGCCAACAATTTGGTGTTATGGTGGCCGGGCGCAAACTGTTGTAGGCGGTGTCTTGAAATCGCACCCTGTAGTAACTTATGAGAGAGAGATACTTGGCACTCGTGATGGCGGAGAGATTGCGCTGGACTGGTGTAACACGAAAAACCCCACCAATCCTCTCACTGTACTTATATTACCTGGTTTGACTGGTACAAGCCAACTTGGCTATGTTCTTCATTTTGTCCTGCACGTCGCTCAGAAACTTAACTGCGCTGTTGTTGTGTTGAATAACAGAGGATTAGGTGGCTTGCAGTTGAAAACGCCTCGGGTATGTTGTGCGGCAGACACAGAAGACCTGGAATATGTCATTAGTCATCTGAAAAATAAACAACCTCGCCGTCCTGTGATGGTTGCAGGAATATCTCTCGGTGGTATAATACTTACTAACTTTTTGTGCAAAATGGCTGAAGGAAAAAGTGATATCACTGATGAAATTCTTGGAGCCGCGATAATCTCCACTCCATGGGATTTGTTCAAGACCTCCAATTCCTTAGAGCAACCTTTGAATCGCCTTTTATTCAATCGTCATTTGACAAAACTATTGCAAAACGTATTGAAGGAACACTTGTCATCAACAAAATTTCAAGAAATGACTCTTAAGCTTAATTGTGATATCAATTCTGGGTTGAATTCAAGCACTGTGAGAGAATTTGATGATAAAATTATTGCACCAATGTCTGGGTTTAAAGACTGTAATGAATATTATGCAGCAGCAACACTACATACTAAGCCATTATGCAAGATTAATATACCACTTTTGTGTTTAAATGCTGCTGATGATCCATTTGCTCCAGAGGAGTCAATTCCATTTGAATTACTCTCTAGGTGTCCTAACATTGCGATGGTGTTGACCAAACATGGTGGACATGTAGGATTTACCGAAGGCTTGTTTCCACGTGGAGCAGGCTTGATGGAAAAGGTCATTGTTCAATACTCTCAAGCTTTGTTTGAGCACTGGTCACAGGGAAGACATGACAGCTCCTTTATGAACTGAGTGTACAGAAATGTTGCCATTTCATAGACAAATTTGTAACCATTTTGCTTGAATAACCTTTCAACTCCCAGAAGTGATTAACATGTGACTTCTCCCTTTAATATCCATAACTAATAAAAGCAGGCAGTGAGGATACTCAAACTTAATAGGTCAAAATCAGTATCTTGATCTAACTCAATATTCTCCCAATTACTTAACAAGAAAATGTGTAGCAGCTAGAGGGGAGAATTAACAATCAAAGCTTGGAAGTTAAAGGGTTAATCAATATGTTGATGAAATAATATAACTATGTTATGAATCCAAGGAAAATTACTAATACCTACAAGTACCATCTTCATAGAGATCACTTATTGAGATTCTTTTACAATAATTAAGAAAATTTTTAAAGAAATTGAGAGAGGTTTTAACTTACCCTGTTTGGGTTAGTGCATATTTATGTTTCTTTGTGATTAAGAAATCTAGATAAGACAGTTTTTATTCTCTATTCACCCAAAACACGGGCAGGATGCAAGTATGGACCAAGGAGATGTAAAGGATATTTCATATTATGAAATCCTTAAGTTGTTTATGACTTACAAAAAAATTTTTTGACAAATTTGAAGATATTATTACAATTAAAAGGTTTTTGATAGACAAGGATTGTACTATAGCTTAGTTTAACTTTTGTTAGTCAGGAAGCAATGTACAGTATTGCACAATCTTTTTGACTGGCTTTGTTTTTTATTTCTTATGCCTTTAATTCCCAGGAGTGACCAGACAACTTTTCCAACTTTTTTTCTGGTAGTTTCTAGGTACTCATTCATACTACTGGGTCTAGCAGCACACTGATAGAATCAAATGTTCTGGCTATAAACACATCCAAAGCTGTAGAAGAGATTAATTTGTCTCTATTATGCCCTCTGTATTTTCTAAATGGCTGACAGGTTATCTCTTGGAACCCAACCACTTAAGTGCTGGACTCATCGTATTGGGCTAAAATGTAGTGAATAGAATTTTTGCCCATTGAAAAAGTTTGCAGAGGGCTGCTTGTGTATTCACAGGCGGCCCAAGCTCACGTCTCGAGAAAATTCATGAACGCGTCACGCGTTGTGTGACTCGGTGTTGAGTTAGGGGAGGAACCGTTGAAAATTTGAACACGTTATAAGGGATAGTATGGGGAACGAAATATGGTCAATTTACAACGATAAATATTTCGAAATATGAATATTTTACACGTAAAATCAATAAAACTTTCTCATGCACTGTGTATCCGTCATAGTTTCTGGCGATTTCTGCCGTTTTAAGCTTGCTTTACCATCACTGTTATCCATGTCAAAAGACGAAGTCAAGGCTGCACACTCAGATTTCGACCGTGGTCTACGCGGAGGTGGTTTGCGCCCCGAAAATCCTCCCGATCGGCATTTTTCTCAGTCACACTTTACGATCTAAGATCGCTGCACCCTGGGACATGTCTAAATACCAAAACTTCACGCGCATTTCGCTGGAAACGAGTGTTTTCTACCTGAATTCCCAAGTTCGCTTCTTTCTCGTCTTTTGACATGGATAACAGTGATGGCAAAGCAAGCTTAAAACGGCAGAAATCGCCAGAAACTACGACGGATACACAGGGCATGAGTAAGTTTTTTATTGATTTTACGTGTAAAATATTCATATTTCGAAATATTTATCGTTGTAAATCGACCATATTTCGTTCCCCATACTATTCCTTCTAACGTGTTCAAATTTTCAACGGTTCCTCCCGTAACTCAACACCGAGTCACAAAACGCGTGACGCGTTCATGAATTTATCGTTGGCTTTTTCTCGAGACGTGAGCTTGGGCCGCCTGTGGTGTATTATGAATTATCTTCATTATTACTAATATTCCCTGTGTTTCCATTCAAATCTTTCAACTGAAGCTCATTTGTATATTAAAAGCTTGGAAATAGAGTCTCCTTTTTTCAGCTGAGTCTCACGTCGACACTCAAGGAAGGAAAATTGGCAAAATCATTTATGTGGAATGCTCTTCTCCCGCGATGTATGGGACCTACGCTTCCAGTGGTCAGCGGTAAAATTTGAAGTACGCATCTGACGTCAACGTCATGACAATTTATCTTCTAAGACGCCATTTTTGTTCCGGCGAAGGGGATTACTTCAATCCGTCTCCATCGTCGCTATATTGATAGATAAATGACTTGATTTCTTTTTTTCGAATCGCTAATAAAATAATCCAAACCAAAATGTGGAAAATTCGCGAATTACAGGACAAAGTGTAAGTGTTTGCCAGATGGTTTAATTGGTATACCTTAAGAGACTATATTAGTGACCATATTTGAGGAAGAGAGCGAAGTTGATGTTCTTTTATTTTTTATACAGTACGAATGTGGTCATGAACTACACTGAAATTGAAGCCAAAGTAAGGGAAGCCACAAATGACGATAGCTGGGGTCCTCACGGAACAGTAATGGCGGAGATTGCAAGGTACACTTTTACATACGAGCACTTTCCAGAGGTCATGTCTATGTTATGGAAAAGAATGCTGCACGAAAACAAGAAGAACTGGCGGAGAATATACAAGGTTTGACTGTGTAAATCATTTTGTTCATCTTTATTGGTTTGTTTACATGGTTCACTGTAAAGGAATTTCTGGCTCTGTTTTATAGGCTTTGCTGCTTCTCACCTATCTCGTGAAGAACGGGTCTGAACGGGTGGTAACTAATACGAGAGACCACATTTACGATTTAAGACAGCTGGAAAACTTCAATCACTCCGACGAATTTGGGAAAGATCAAGGAATTAACAGTATGTGAATCATAGTTTACGAAACCGTTTACGATTTCTTTCGAATCATGAGAGTGATATTACTAACGATACGTATTGATGTGTGTGTATCGGCAATCGAGAAGTGCACCAATATCTACCAGTCGATGCATATTTGTGTACCGTTGATTGTTATTGAGGAAGGTCGAAAGTTGGAAATAAATATGTGGTTATTACTCCCACAACCCAGTTGCTTTCTTCGGGATGTTTTGGACAAAATGCATCGCGCTAGATTTCTACCGTATAATTTCTGCTCGTTATCGGCACATTTTGACTGCCATTCTGGTAGCCTTACATGGTAGTTAATTCTGCTATATACGTGTGTTTATTGATTGTTTGATAGCAAGGGTGCATTATGATCTTAAGTGTGTCAGCTAGCAAACATAGTTCCCTTTTTCAGTCTTCTGTCTTATCAATTGACGCAAGCTTGCTTTTCCTCCACAAGAAGTCTTAATTTTTTGGGAACCCACATTTCCTTAGGGGATGCAGCTACTGTTTAGAATGCAGTTCGTTAACTGTAAAACTTTCTAAAAGAACAGATCATTGTTTGACTTTATCCAGTCAATGAAAATTTAAGTTTCTTTCATGCTCTCTCACAATCTACAGATTTCACCTTGGCCAGTAATAGTATTCGATCTTTGAGGGTAGCAAGTCCTGATTCCATTTCACACACAAATTAAAGAAATAAATAATGTGTTGTATTTACTAAAACAGTGTTTCCTGTGTCACAAGTTCAAAAGGGAAAACTTTAAATCCCTCTTCTTGTGTGTAAAGTTTCAGGGAAATCTTGAGGTGTTCTCATGTATCACATCTATTTTAGGAAGCAAATTATGTCCACATTGGTTTATAAATTGCAGAATGATACCCACCTTTCTGTAAACTTAACATGTCACATATTAATTTTGGCCTCATTCATGTGTAATCTTAAAACGCTTTGTTACCCTTTTCTATTTTTTGTTGTATTGTAACCTTTCTGAGCAAAAAATTTGATAATAGTAAAAAGAAGTAAAAACCTTTTTAATGACCAGTACAGGCTTTATTCTAACCCTCACCTGAATTTATTTTTCTGCACCAAGTGTTAATGTAGGAAAACACAGGTAGTGCATCCATGAACTGTTTCTTTTATTAACAATACAGTTCGACACAAAGTAAAAGACCTTGTTGAGTTGGTCCAAGACGATGAAAGATTGAAGCAAGAACGAAAGAGAGCCAAGAAAAACCGCGATAAGTACAAGGGAGTGTCTAATGAAGACTATACAAGATCATATAGTAAGTAAATCAAGATTTCTATACACTGAGTCACTGCCTCCATTTTAGTTTTTTTGCAGAGCTGTCAATAAGAACCAGTTGCCAGCCATAACTGTCAAATAGTCTGCCATCTTCAGCTGGCCACTTTCACTTCATTTTACCATACTTTTTACTTGCAAACTTGTTAAAAGCACTGTTTTTGGTGTCAAGAACTGATAGATCAAGGAAGAACTTCTTTTTAATGTAACATGTCAGTAAGTTGGGTGGGTTTAGAGAAAATGAAATGTGATATCCGAAAATGAGAATTGATCTTTCATAATCAACTTGAATAAAAACATCAAATGATATGTGACCAGAACAAGTGCTGTCTAATAAACTGCTAAAAAGTAAACATCTGCATAGAGTCAGAAAATTTGCATTACCAGATGTAAATGTCTTTAAAAAATCAGGCTGAAAGTAGGTAACAGTTCTTGTTGTACATAATATGCTGTTTCTAAGAACATCACCAGAAGATGCGATTCAACCTCCTTTCCAAGGAATTTCTCGCTAGAGTTCTTGTAGGTTATTTTCTTCTTGTGTCTGGTAACTCCCTTTTTTGTGTGCTGAATGTCACTGATACACCAGCCTGATATTTCAAGAATCACATTAAGATTTACAGCTGTAATAATGGGTTTGTTAGCTTCATGTTAACTCCTAAACTCCCATCCAAAAACAAGTCACCAAGGCAGATACAGAGAAGAGAAAAACATCAATCAGGAGATTACAAGTTGGTCTAATACCAAATTTTCCAAACTAATTTTGTAAGAATTGTATTGCAGATGTAAGGAGAACTACTAATGAGATCTTGAGAGTAGAAGGGCTTATGTCGTTAATTTTCATGTTACAGGTGATCGGTATGATTCTGAACCTCGGGGTGCAGACCAATTTGATGAGTTTAATGGAAGAACAACACGTAAGAGTAAAATCAGAGAGTGGAGGGAAAGAGCTGGGTCGTATGGAGAGTACAAAGACAAAGACAGGTGAGAAGACAAATTTTGTGCCTGTTTGTTGTTTTATAAGAAAGAGATGGTAGATGTATGTTTGAAATATAAATTGTTTGTCTCATCTGACAAAAGCAACATAATTAACTAAAGGAGAGACACTGACAGACACACAGACAGGCAAGTAATTAATGCTGCTAAGAATATAAAATACATGGTAAGGAGAGATTCATTCACTCTTTTTAAGGGGATTGTGACAGAAATTGCATGAGGCAGCCTGAAATGTAACACTATTCCTTTATTTTAAGGGGTGAAGCAGGTGTTTGTAATGTGGATAGTGCCCTGAGGTACATGGAAAGGTTGAACAAAATGTGTTCCTAGATCAATATGGTATTTTATTGGATTTTAAAAAACCCCTTTTGGGTTACCAAAATCCTCATAGCAGAAGATTAAATGGTCCAACAAGTATGTTGTAACTTGTTTATTTGAGAATGGATGCTCTTAAGTTGTGATATTTATTACATATGTTTGCATGACTGGAGATAAAGGATATACCTGTAGCCATGAAATGATCTTTTTGTAGATTAGCATTTTCTCTGTTGTAAAAACTCTCAAAGATTGCATTTTGGTGCCATGTACAGTCCGGTTTTTTCTGTAATGGTATAAATTTCCAGCCTCTACTTTGAATAAGGTTTTTTTGTTATTTAACAGAAAGCTGTCTAAAATTTAACCTCTTTTACTGTTTCTTTCAGTGAAGAAGAGGAAGCAGAGGAGGCAGAGGAAGAAAAAGACAAAGACAGCACAAGCAGTCCAGATTCTTCCAAAAATCCAACACCAAAACTACAGTCTAAACCATCAAGGACTATAGATCTTGGGGCTGCAGCAAACTTTGGAAAATTAGACATAACAAATAACAAATCTGAAAAACCAGTCTCAAGTGTAGCTCAATCTACAGTATCTTCTAGCGGTTCAGACTTGGTGGACTTATTCTCTGGGCCTGCTGGCGCAACACTCACATCACAACCCTTTCAGGCTCCTCCTGCCTCAGTCGCGCCATCATCAAATGATGATAGTTTCTTTGCAGACTTTGCTTCTGCTCCTGCTGAGGGAGGAACCATTGAAGGAGTGGAAAATGTGAATTTCAGCAATGGTAAGAACAGGGTTCTTTCTTTGAGTGCCTGAAGAATAAAAAATACAGTACAGAACTGTAATAGCCGTTATCCAATTTTATGTTTATAAATTGCTACTTTGCTATTTGTTTCTTGCCAAATTTTTTTCATTTTATTTCAAGGTGTTGAATTTAAATTGCAAGAGTGGCATAAGACGTCGTTTTTGCATTTCATAATCAAAATGTGGGAAAGGAAGTTTGAAAATAGTGATCAATTGGGTTCCTTTTGGCAGGTACTCTGCAAGAGGATGACTTCGGTGACTTTGCAGCTTTCCGCACTGGAAGTCCTCCCCAGAACAATTTGTCTGATGATGCATTTTTTTCTGGTTTTGAGAGTAATACCACACCTCAGTCTAATCAGGTGAAGTTGAGAATCTTATCTTTCTTTTTTTTTTCCTTTTTGCTCCTCCAATAAGCCTACATTGTACATGTGGGCCACCCAAAGTATTTGTAAATTTTTTGCAATCCTAGGATTTGAGGTCTGTCTAATTCCTTTGTAATCGCATTTCCACTCTTCAGAGGCACTTCCTTACTCTTTTTCCTTCACAAGGAGGCTTTATAGATTCCTTTATGTCGTAATTCTCATGTAGTATGGCTATATCATTTTCCATTCTTACTTCACATTTAAAGTTAAAGTCAAGAGTACCATTTATGTATCTGTTTTAAGATTCTACATGTGGATATGGTAATGAATGTTTGGTGTGTTACCTTTGGAACAGTGAGTGAGGCAAAAGTGATTGGTTTAATCACCAACAATGTACTGCCAACTTCCTTGTCCAAAGGATAAGGAAGGAATTGTCACCACCTTACATGCTGATCGTAAAGTTTTTTAATTATGTTTCAAGTACCCTTCCAAAGAAAACCAGGGTGGCTAAATTTTCTAATGTTTTTAACATAGTGTTTTATAAATGCTTGTCTTACCTGGTCAAATAAATTCTTTAAAGCTTGCAATCAAACATCTTTATTCTTCAACTTTGAAATGGAATAAAATGAATGTAACAGAACTTTTTTGTAAAGATGTTTTAAAAGTTTACATTAAGAATGCATACCTTAGGCTTAGCTACAAAGAGAGGAACAAAATCAGCTATTGAACACCAACCATGTAACCTTTACTAACAAATAAAAAGCTGCATTTGCTGTTTAACACCAAAAACTCAATTTGAAGCCTTTTCATTCTGAATGGATCTAATTGGCTAACAAGAGGGAAATTGCTTTTCATTTTAATCTGCAGTGGGTTCCTTACAGAGGTAGCCACCTACTTCAAACATTTTTGAAAGCACTGCTTAACACAATAATTCATTGTTGACATACATCATAGCATGAAAATTTGAGAATGTGTTGGTGTGGAAATTTGATACACACAGGATACTGTCATGTGTTGGTTTTGTCGACTGCTTGTTGAAAGTGTTTAGTATTATACAATTTTACTGAGGTAACCACCTACTTCAAATATTATTGAAAACACAGCTCAACGCAATAATTTATTGTTGACTTGCATCTCAAAATGTTGATCAGACCACATTGACTAAAATGTAATGTTTTTAGTCACAAGTGGTTTTCAACTGTCCCCTTCCAAAAGGCAATTAAAACAATTGTTATTATTTTAATTTATTATTTATTTAAATTATTATTTTCACAGATTACAGTGAGCCAGGTAGTTCCTCAAAATGCAAGTCAGTTTTTCCCTGCTCCCCAATCTCAGTCAGTGGTGAATCCACCTCTTCAACCACAAAGCACTATGCTTTCTGGGCTACATCCTCAACTAGGCCCTCAACCTGGGTTGCAGCCTCAGTCAGGGCTACTATCTCAACCCTCACTACAGCTGCAACCTGGGCTACAGCCACAACCTGGGCTACAGCCCCAAACTTCGCTACAGCCTCAACCTGTTCAGTCTGCAGTAATGAATAGTCAATTTGTTTCTGGAGTAATGCAGGGCCAGATACCAAACTCTCAGCTGTTTGTCCAACCGCAACCAAATCAACAACCAATGCATATAAAACCACAGACTATGACCCCTTCAAAGCCATTAGTAGCCAGTGGAAAGTCATCTTCAGGTGTGTTGGCAGAGGGTACTCCTTTGCATCAGGTAAGCTATTGGTAATATCTACATGCATATAACTTACCCTAGACCTCTAGAGATTTGTTTCATGATTTTCTTTTGTTTTCAAGATGTAGATTATCCATTGGTGTTAATGGTAATCTGCCAGTTTTTTTTTTCTACCTTATGTATAAAATCAGCCAATGCAGGTAATCTGTCATGCAGGTAGACATCTGGAAATAATAGTATTAGTGGAGGTTTAGAGGACACATGGGTACTAATTATGATGTTAAACCAGTGTGCACTTCAGATGAATGTGCTATGGGCAATTTTAGATATATCTTTTTGGTTACAGATTCAACACTAGATCAAATACTAATATGTATTTTTGCAGAGTATGAAATTTGATGATGTTTTGTTTGTATTATTTACAGAAGTCAGTTAAATCAACAACATGGTCAAACAGTCCAGTTGACATTAGTCTAGACAATTTAAGCCCCATGAGCCACAAGGACAAACCAGTTCAACCAAGCATGAATGAGTTGTATTCAAACCAGCAGCAAGTTCCATCAGCAACAATGGGCTTCTATAACATGCCACAGCAGGGTATGTACCCCATGGGGATGCCACCAATGAACACAAATTACCCTGTCATGGGCATGGCAGCACCACAAATAAACACGATGGGTCCAAACATGAGTCAGATGGCAGTCTCATCTAATGTGCCCATGATGCCCATGACAAACAGAGCAATGGGAATGATGCAGCCAAGACCAATGGGACAAATGCAGAACTTTGGTACTAGTGGTTATTCAACTTACAAGGGCATCAGTTGATGTTTATGGCATTGGACAAAGTGCTTTACTGCTTAAGTCATGCATACAAAGAAGGTTCTACAGTTGGACTAAAATTCCCATCGAGAGAGAAATAATTCATTGAATAATACAAAATTAAAATTTAATCAAATTAAATTCAACATTGGCTGGGCCAAATTGAGAAGAGGTGAGAACTTGTGAAGTAGGATGGAAGGAGACCAAGATAGATTCACCTTATTACTTGAAGTTTTTGCAACACTTTGTTTTCATGATTATCAGAATAACTTGCATTGAAAAATTACAGTGATCTGAAACTGGGTGTTGTCATGGAATATCGCCAAAAATTTGTGACCATCATGACTCCAGGTATTTAAGAAATAACCAAGTAATAGGTTACATGGATAACATGACTTAAAGCAAAAAGTATAGTTGTTTTTGGTACTGTAATAATGGAATTATGTACCATTTAAAAGTATCATAAGCATTAATATTTCTTGTTATTGCTGTTTAAATGATAAACTATTATTTTAGAACAAAACCGCAAAATGCCCTCTGAAATGAGAGAAATGTACTTCTAGACAAAGCTACAAGATTGAAGGGTAATGAATACAGTGTAAGAGACTTAAGGATTCTTGCGCATGCACTCACACACACACATACACAACACTCTTGAAAAGTTCTCTTAATAAGGTGGTAGATGCTAAACAGCCATGTAGATAGACTTGTAATTGTAAAAGAACCCACTTGAAGGATCTTAGTTTTGGGTGATTTTTGTTAATTTGGGAGAGAAATTCCACATTTGTATCATGTTGAACCAATCATATATTTTATCAATCCTCTACATAGATGTGGGCTTGAAAGGCCACTCATTTTATTGTTATATATTAGATAATTACCTAGGACATGTCAAGGCTTAGGTTCAGTGAAATGCTCATAACTGTGGTATCAAGACAGGTTATGAATTACAAAGGATTAGATCATTAAAAAAAACCAGTTTGATACTAGCAAAACAGCAACAGAGGGGGGCAGTATATGATGTAGAATTGTTACTCCTTTTAAGTCAACTATCTTTGCTGCACAATATACATAGCAGTTTTCATTTAAGTGTCTACCTCAGATGATTTTTTTTGTTTTGTTGTGTGGGTTTCTTTACAAACTGTATTAAAGTAACAATTTGTTTCTCACACAAGCGAGTCTACAAAGCCATATTGGTATCCAGTACATATAATGCCAACAACATTCTTTTGATAATTTCTGGTTTCTATCAGAACTTGATTCACATTATACAAGTACCCAGCCTATTTATCCTTGCCAAAACTAAGTATGTTACCACGGTAATTCAAAATGCAATCTTAAAAGGGGCTAGAGTCAATAAAGAAAAACATTTGCTTTCCTAGGAATGATTAGGTTAGAAGGACTTTGATGTACATGTAACAAATTGTTCACTTTTAGTTCTTATCTTCCACTTTACAAGTGAATGTTCTTAATTATCTTTAACTTTGCCACTCAAAGAATCAAGCTAGAGTGATTTTTGGTGATGGAAAGTATTGCATGCACAGTTAAAATTTATTAGAGAGAAAAAAGATTGTCAAGCTGAGGTTTGAAGTTTGTGGATGTAATCTGTAATTTTACTATCTCCAGATTTGTTCATCCTTGCACTTTTAAAGTTGTGTGCAATTATTGTTTTTCTGATTTGTAAGGCATGGTAGAGTTATGTTATAGTTTCCTCCATGACCTTCTAGGGCAACTGTCTCCTAACTGTACCATTCTAAAGAGCAGTGCTGAAGAGATATTAAATTTCAATTTTCATAGGTTTTCAAAGATCCTGTTAGGGATCAGGACATGCAGTTTTTATTTTTGAATAAAGAACACTTGGTGGAATATTGAATTGATGTAATAAAGTGCCAAGGGAGGAACATAATGTTATCATGAAGGCTTCCTTACTGGGCATTTACATTAATTAGGCTAAAATAGATATGCATAAAAAATATTTTAAGTTTCTTTTTGAAAGGGGTTTGTCATGCTAACCAAAATTCAAACATTTAATTTTACTGTGGAGATAAGATCATTTTCTAATGTATTACTAATTGAAGTTGTTACTTACTGAGGAAGTGCAAACAACCTTACAGCAGAGCTATTCTTCCCTGAGACAAGTTTTCTTTAGACAATATTATGTCCTCTCTTGAGCATGTGTTACAGTGCTGTTTATTTTTTTAAAAAAAAGTGTAAATGGTTGTTTTAGTTCTCTTTTGATTCTGAAAAACCAACCACAATTCAGGATAACATCCTTCATGGCTCAAACCAATTTGAATTCAGATCATTATCTGCTGTTTCTCTTTAGAGATATCTTAAAATGTCACCCTTGACTAACGAGTAATTGCTTAAATCAGCATTATAACAGTTATATTAAATATATCCTGTGACTTATACTTTCACTCATTTTGACAGATTTTGTATTACAAAATGTAAATAGAACAAAAAAACCACTTTGTATGATAAACTAGGTGCTGCTTTCATGAAAGGGTGATCTTGCTGAAACACTCTTAACCTAGCCCCAAAATTTTCTCTATTTTTATGTTACAGATCCCAAGGTTTGATGGAGGTGGAATAAAACTATTTGTTACCTTCTTGATGTGAACTCTTGTTGACATAGCACAGTCACATTTGAGACAATTCAAGTCATAATGTGTGTGGGGGGAGTACAAATGGCATCATGCAAAATGCAGGGGTGTAAAAAAAATATGCACTAATAGGCCTTTTTTTTTTTCTTTTTGCACTTCTTCCCTTGGGCATCTTATCTCTTGCCTTTTCATGGCACCTACCTCACACTTGCATCCCCTTGCCTAGAAATGGCATAAAATTACAGCTAACTGTAGAGTTCAGGTTGCACTTTGGAAGGTTAAAATCTTCTGACTTGTCCAAACTATATCATAACTTTCTGAACCTTTGTAATCCCAGTGTGGGATTTGTAGTTCTTTTTTCTTTCTTTCGTTTGTATTTCCTTGTGAATTTTTTAACCCTATCACTTCTGATATGTAATTACATATTCTTTAAACCATTTGTTTTAAACCTCAGTTTTGTTTATGAGAATTTTGTGTAAATTCAAACTTTATCTTGGCTCCTAATTGGTGTTTTCTTTCTCCCTTTAACCTTTTCTCAAGATCTCATAAATTACTTTGTTTGACACTACTGGTGGTGAAATGGTCAAGAGAAATTGGTGTGCCATCAAGCTTGCAGCTAATAAGTGTGTCTGCTACACATTTGACTTAATATTTTAACTCCAATTGGTTAGAAGCATTATACAGTAGCATGTGAAGTTGTCATGATAACCCAACATCTGCTGCAGATATTGGGTTACAATTGCAAATTCAAAGCCTTCCCAGTTTCTAAGCCCCTCATCCATCTAGTGTTCTCAAACTTTTGCATACCCAGAGTGAAGTGTCCTCTTTTGCAGATTGTTTAAAAAATGTATAATAAATCAATTATTAAATTTGATTTTTGCATGATATCATAAATTATCATTTTCATCCCTTTGTTATCTGCCTTAGCCCTTAGCTTTGGTAGATAACTCAGACCTTGGCATTGATAATTCATATTTTGCTCTACCTCATCCAATAATTGCTTAGTATTCTCATCACTTGTTAGTGGGTCCATTAATTGATATTGTGAGGAGAACTGCTTATGAGTCACCCATGGCGGTTGAAGTTTTGTTGAATTCTAGCTATATTTCTTTGTAATCTTATTTAGTGCTGTAGTTATTTTGCATGATGGCCTTCAAGCTCAGACCAGCTCTTTATAGTGATACATTATACACTTATGTATGGTCCTAAGGGTAACAGTTTTGTTTTCCCAAGAGTCCAGATGTTTCCCAAGACAAAGTCAAGGGAAACATCAGGACTAGAGGGGAAACAAAACTAACTAATTTCCAGAGGAACCATATGGTTATATGTTTAGACTTTCCCTTTAACAATCATGTGGCAAAAACATGCTGTTGTATTTGGTGCATGGGCAACAACTGTGCAATTGTATCTCAGTTGGAATACATTTGAATATGATCAGGGGCACATGACCAAGTGCTTGCTTTATTGAGTGAAATTCTAGGTATATATCAGTAGTAATTATTTGATAAGATGAAAAGCACTTGAAAGCAAACTACAACCCACATTAGGTAAACATTCATCCTTTGCACTCTGACATCAGAACACACATCCCCTCACAGTTCTCTATGCATTTTCTCAGGTGCGACCAAGAAAATGTGTGTAACCCTTTAAGAGCTTCCTTTATTGGTGACCATTTCCCTTTTTCTTGTGACCTTGATGTGTGCAGATTCAGGGAACATTTTGTAGGAAGAAATTGAATGCCTTCTTCCGGGGTTCTGGTCCTGCCATTCTTGTGCCATGTTTTTTCTTTTACTTCTTCAGAGTAAATAACTGATGAACCATATCGGCCTTTAGTACAAAAGTTATGGTTAGAATTAACTGTGTTGATATCAAAAAGCAGACAGAAATAAATATTAGATGGGTTTAAAAAAAACTCATTTTCATCAATTCAAAATTGCTGAAATACAATTTTCAGTACTAACTAAAGCTGAAATAATTAACCTGCATCAAACAAATAAATTACTTCTATGTGCTTCACTGTGTTATGGGGATAAACAAATATTCACTCCCTGTTGTGATAAAAATAACACAGGCAAATAACTGATGAAACTAAAACTGAATCCTTCAGCAGTCCTGTGAGGGGCGATGCTCTTGGGGGGGGAGAAGTTTGGGAGTGCTTGCTGAGGCCTACACTGATCTTCCCAATGGCAAACTCTCTTCATACATTGCTTCCCATTTCAAGAAAAAAATTGTTTCTGTGGTACATACGTTGCCGAATCCAGCACATCATATGATAAAAAGTGTTTATAAAGTAAATACTAAATAGAAAGAATCAAACACGGTTCATAGTCATAGTTTTGGTCCTGAAAGACACCTTGTTCGAGGCACCAAATAGATTAATCGTTCCAGATTCAAGAAAGCTAAAAAAACAAGCTCTGTATTAGATTGATCACACGAAAAATGTTAACTACTTAGAAAACACTTCAAAACGATGCACAGTTGCATTGTTGACCAATGTGAAAGGAGGGCATCTTAGCAAAAGATCGATGTCTCAATTTTTGGAATTCCAAAACCTCATTCCCAGGAGCACAATATCGATAAATTAAAGCGAATAAAGTGACGGACGGAAATATTTGTGCCCCTCACACTTCTATTATTCAGCGATCGGAATAAGCTTTGAATTCGTGTCTGACTCGGCTATACTCGTTAATTATCGGTCATGATCGGAAATAGCCACTCTCGATTGGCCACACGTAATTGTTCATTTTGTCCAATGAAAAGCCGAGGCGGAGAAATCAAATAGTTCCAAAAGTCCGTTGGAATTTATTTCACCGTTGGCATTCCCGCGCGACACAGTTAATTCCTATGCGGCCATTTTATCGTTTTCTATTCGTGTTTTAATGAAATTTAGACACCCGATTGCTGATACACCACAACTATGAATGAACTCATTGGAAAAATCGTGGTGATCAAAAGGAATGGGGCGGATGGACCACAATTTCCATTAAGAACGACCGAATGCTTCTTTGGAAGGTAAGTCGCTCAGACTACGTAAGTGACAAGTTGGAAGTTGGTTTACAAATTGATATTTTCTAGTTTATGAGTGAAGGATTATTCTTCTTTGCCACAGAAAACCGGCGTGTGATATAAGGATTCAACTACCAAACGTTTCACTGGAGCACGCTGTGGTAAAAGTCGACGAAAAAGACAAGGTAAAGTTTTTGCTGCTGCCGTAGTCTTCATAAAAGCGATATATACTAGTAAGACGGGAATGTCGATCAGTTGTTGATTTGAAAGAATTTTCCCACCGCCTCACTTGTAGTTCAGTGATTAGAGGCCTAAATCAGGCGTCGCTTCCGTAACAAAATAGATTTCGGCCCTTTTATCGGGTACGATTGAGATGTATCAAAGAGATTGTCACTGACTATGGAACATTAGTTGACTAGAAGTGCTCCCGCTGAACACCTGAAAAGCTTCATCCTCTTGACATTACCGTAAATTCCGTTTGGGCGCTAGTTTTAGAAAACATTATGTT